GAAGGGTCCAGGAGCAAATGCTGCTCAAGTCTCCTTCAAGTGATGCTCACAAAATCAAAACCCAAGACCTTATGCTATATGAAATCCGGTGAAGGGTACGTTTAACCACTTCCCGTCTGGCCCATGTACATACACGGCCGGATGGGAGCAGTGCAGGAGCAGGTGGACATTTATAAACAACCTCCCGCATTCCCTGCCTGTGCGCGCTCCCTGGGAGCGCGTGGCACCGCGATTTGGTGCCCACTGTCTCCTTGTGAGGTTTCGATCATGTGATCACTGATTGCCCAAGCCCCATGTGACAAGCTGTGACCAATCACAGCTTTCACAGTATTTCTCAATGGCTGCAAGAATGCAGCCAGAGAGAGGGAGAAATTCTTGCTTTTACAGCCTTTATGGGTATAAAAGCAATCAGTGTAAAAAAAAAAAATCTTCATCACCCCCCACAAGTAGTACAGTGTCACTATGGTGACACTGTACTGATAGGGTGACAGTATGTTAAAAGAAAAAAAAACAAATAATAATATACAAAAAAATAATACAAATGTAAAAACATTTTTTGAAAAATTATAATTTTTGGTTATAAACTAATTTGGGTTATTATTTTTTTTTTACTAAAAAGATAGAAGAATACATTTTGGCCAAGATTTATGAAGAAAGATTATTTATTTGCAAAATTTTATAAGAAAAACACTTTTTATTCAAAATGTTTGCACTTTTTCATTTATATAGCAAAAAATAAAAATCCCAGTGTTGAATAAATACCACCAAAATAAAATTTTTATGTCTCAAAAATGCTAAAAAAATTCATATGGGTACAGTGTTGCATGACCGCACAATTGTCATTCAAAGTGTAATAGCACTGAAAGCTGAAAATTGGCCTGGACAGGAAGGGGGTGAAAGTGTCCGGACTTGAAGTGGTTAACCTATATAAATGCTGATCTCCCCTTTCAGTGGAAATCATTTTCTGAAGGTAATCATACCTTGGCACTACTAAAGTACAACACTGATGAGTTAATAAATATACCCAAGCCAACTTTAAAAAAATTATTTTTAAAATCTGAGCTAATCTACCCAAAAAGGGAATTCACATTTACTTTCAAACTAACATAAAATTATATCTTGTACATTTTACATCCATGACAGGTGATATCAAATATAAAACTCAGAAAATTTCAATGTACTGCCACAAGGGAGAAGGATGAACTTCATGGCCTTTTTAAACGTATTTAACTAGGTGATGTGCGAACAGAGAAAGTGAAATATCAATTTCAGATTTCAAAACATTGACTTTATCTGACTAAGGCTCCTTGTATACTAGCCTGTGTGCATCCGATCCTGGTGTTTTAGATGCACAGTTATAGCATCCAGCCCTGGTGCTTGCAGCCTGTCACGGTCTATGGCAGGCTGAAATATGGTGCGGCTGGACAGGGCTTAACACTGTACCAAGTGCTATTCGCATTTAGCTCTGTACACATTCAGGGACATATAATAAACTCCTAGTGTGACAAGGGGCCTAATGTGACATTCCTCTAAAAAACGTGGAAGAATTTCATTGGAGTGCTGGTCACTTTTAATCATTGTGCTCCTGTTTTCAGGTAATAGCACATAAGTAGTATCCAATCAATCATGAAAGCAAACAAATGTTTATTCTGTGCCCTGGCTCTTCCTAGTTAAACTTAACTTTTGAATTTACAGAGCATCCGCTCCACTCATCAATTCCGATTTTGCTATGGCACTTGCCTGTCTTAGTCGCTCCAGACTCAGAATGTTCTCCACCTGTAGAACACCTCGTGTATATTTCTCAATATAGGTCTCTCCATCAGAAGTGGCTTCATACTCATTCCTTGCTGCCATCAAAGCCAGGGTTTCTCTGTCCTCAGGCTCTTCTGTTGCCTGTCAATCAGACAATATTACATCACTGACACATTCCAAAAGTTTTATAGTAAGTGTGAATGAAATTAGGTAATCTGCACATCGCATGCTGTTTTTAGTTTCAGTAAATGTTTTGTGTGTGGTGGTTTAACATATTCTGAGATAATAGACACGGTAGGAGAAGAAGCCTCAGTCTATAGGATGGAGATGCCCAAGTATGAAACAAGAATAAGAAATGCATATATTCTTTAGGCACTACAGCTTCTACTAGAAACCAAGCAATATGTTTTGCATCAAGATAGAGTTTAACCTGCTAGAACAATTTCATCTCTCACAAATTTAACAGAAACCTCAGATAGTGAAGGGGAAGGTAATGGGTCACTGCTTCTTCAGTTTGAGCTATAGAGCTCTGTAGACAATATGATTTTGTAGCCAGAGGAAATAACTGAAATAACTTTGAAAACATAAAAAGCAGCTGTGAGCTCTTGCACCCCCTCACAATTTCATTGCCATAATAATGACAGAAAATATGCACAAAACCAGCACACATTGTCGTTTATATAGTTAAGTGAGTTTATTTTCCAGTCAGATAAAATGTAGTCACTAGACAGTCATTTGATTGTACCCGTCTATGGTATTTTCTCTAAGTAAATGTTTATTGTTATAACAACTCAACATTCAGAAACCTACTTTTGGGATATTGGACACAATTTCATAGCTTACTCCACAGGAATAGAGAATATTCTTGATAGACATACGTCTTTTTAGGCTTTGTGTAAAACTCTGCAGGAAAAAAAAGGAAAATTTTATAGCACATTTCAAAATGTTTGGTATTGTCAAGGTACTCTGATATTGGGGGTTGTTTACCTCAATGGTAGCAGCATTTTGTAGAGAGTCCACACCAATCCAAACTGTGATTTTAAGGCTTGCCAGCCCACATTTATTTAAAAAAGTTAAAGTCTACACTACAATTGCCCACACACAGGATTTTCACCACCAAAAGCAGGTAGCATAAAATGATGACCTAGCTCAATCTTCAGCAGCACTGTTGCTCTTGTCACTGGTCCCTGAAACAGTCTCACCCAGCCTATAGTTACAGCTCCCTGTTGTACAGGCCCACTCCTGGCCTCTCAATAGGGATTCTCTTGTCACTCCTCAGAAACTTAGAGATTCCCTTAGTCCCCAGGGCTCACCTAGTTGTCCCGGCTAACTCAAACTCTGAGACTCGCTTAGTCTCCTCAAATCTTTCAGCTTGATGGACATGGAATATTTCCTCCAGCATAGAGTGCCGTCAACTGAGTAGAGCACCTGTGTCTCCTAACAGGAACACACACCTATCTTCCAACAGGAGCACTGAGATTTTCCCAAATCTATCATTATAAGGGCTGTGTGCACCTGGACACACACCCTGTTGGTCTTTGGCAAGACCTGGACACTGGGCTGGAGATTTCTACCTTCCCAAAGCACTCTGAAAACTCCAAAGTACGAAGCCCAATCTGGGAATACCAAAATCCGGAGAAAGGTGTAAAACAGTTTTCTCCGGTCATATTCAATACTGTTGGGTCCAGAACTCGCAAACCCTGTGTCCTTTCTACAACCATTCTCACAGTTACAGGGCCTCACGCTCTCACAGTACATATAAAAAACACAGGATCAAGTTATGCATGGGAGACAGGTTTCAACAAAGTGTAATACAATTCATTGAAAAACAGGAAGCTTTTCTAAAAGTAACACTGAAAAAATGTATACTTTTTTAAATTGTAAATCGTATCTACATTTGTATCAAAAGTATCAGTGAAGTCCATTCCCTTTCAACCAACAGCACATACGTTCTATACCTACAGTACAGATGTCACTGCTTATTATTCATTCATATGGATAATACATACCATCACATCCTGTTGTGACCAGTGTCCAAACACAGCAATTTATTTCAGCTGAATTCCATACAGATATAAACTACACTCAATAATGCAGCTCTAAATTTAAAAAATAATTAAATGCAATTTATTTAAGAAATTAGTGCAGGTACCTGAATTTGACCTGATATTAGCTTCTTTTAGGGTTCATGTACACTGCAACTGATACACTCACGTTCAGGAGCTTTTCTGCATTTGTTTCAGCAGCCCCTGAACTCTCCCTAATGTTTTCCTATGTGTCCATGTACACTATGTTGTTTACAGGCAGTGGAGTTTATAGTCGTTTTTTTGAACATACCAAACTTGCGTTCAGAAGTAGATTTTATCAGCATTTCAAACGGCATCCCCTAATGTTGTCACACATAATGGACCACCTGCTTGAACTGACTGTGGTATATATATCTCACATACTGACGCTGTTCAACCGGACTCTTTAGACCAGCCTTTCTCAACCAGGGTGCCCAGGCACCCTGGGGTGCCTTGAGGTTTCTTCAGGGTGCCTTGGCAAAATGTCTAAAAATTGCCCAAAACTTGTATACAAGCCAGTGGGTGGAACAAGCCTGCCTTTCAGTTACACAAATGTTTTTATTGCGCAACACTATGACCTTCTAGCCGCTGGCGTCCTGACAACCAATAACATCATCAGTTGATAATGAAGATGTTAGCTGCCTGCATAGCATCCTTGTTTGCCCCTCTCCATGAGTTCTGGGGTCACATTAGCTCAGTGATGAAGAAAACTGACGGAGAAGAAAAACACTGGAATACTAGTCAGTACCAGTGTGCAAAAGTGTATTTGCTCTGGAAGAATAAATCATCTCTAATGTTGGGTGTCCTACATGTGTGGATATTGCTGCATTACATAAAAGTTTTAGAATAGTTTTTCACATTTTAGAATGGGGTGCTTCAAGATTTTTCTAAATTTTAAAGGGTGCCTTGACTGAAAAAAGTTGAGAAACACTGCTTTAGACCACTGAAACGTAATGTAACTTATCTTTTGTTGACTGAATAAATTTATAAGTGCAACATACATTTATACAAAAAAATGCTTTAAATGTTGAAAACTTTAGGTACCTGTTTATTATATACATTGACAGCAATTCTCTTTCTGAGAACCAGCTCCATAGCAGCTGGGTGACTGAGTTGCACTGTCACCTTCACAATAAGATATATGCGCTCATTCTGTGGAGTAACCCTATTCAAGTGTATTGAGTCATGGATTGCAGAGTCCCAGGAAGCAGTGGCTGAAACCTGCCAATGATACAGAGCACATCTTGTATTAATGTATTGGTGCTAAGATTACACAAATTCATCTCAAAAACATACATTTGTTTCTGGAGTCTTTAAACAGACATGGTATATTTGGGTAAGGAATTTTACATGCTAATAACTTTTAGAAATAAGAGACACCCAAAAATCTGATTATTACACCAATTAACTGAAACAATTACAAACATGCCAATATACCCTTAACTTAAAGCTGAACTCTGGCAAAAAAACAATGTTTGCACATTTGCACTTTGAAAATAAATGAACACATACTTGTAAAATAAATGAATAAATGAACATTAAGTCTTGGTTCACACTAAAAGCAACTTTCAAATTGAGCTACTTCACCTGAAAGTAGCGTAGGAACTATTTTTAAAATTGCGCTTCTTCAAATCACACTGATTAAGACAGTGCCATATAAATATATTAGATGTGACTTCATGTGCGATTTGTATATCGCATGTTGCACCTGAAGTCGCACAGGTGTGGACCAGGGCTAATAAAGCATATGCAATGTGTTGCCACTTCTACATTATGCAATAGTCTCACTTGCATTCCCCTCACCCAATACAGTTAGTGCTAAACTTCCAGTTTCAGCTAGAGTAAACAGATCACAGCAGGTCAATTGTTCTGAAGTTAAAGTATTTCCTAAACCCAGGACCCTACATTCACTATATCTGGTCTCTCACAGTACACACAACATGGAAGTGCAATTATTTTAGTAAATATAAACTGCTAAATACCTTTTCTCATCAGCAGTTAGATCAGTCTTGTGACTTCTATCAATGTCCAGCAGAGCACTGGTTAAAGCTTGTAGGAGGAGTTTTATTTCTGCTCTAGGAGGATGCAAAAATCCCTGACCTCTGTCTGGACAGCGCTGATTGGCCCTGTGCTGATCACGTGCACTCTCCCAAGAAATAAAAAAACCTCTCTAGCAATACACACCAAACTATGCATGTGCAGAATGGCTACGGTTTAGTCTGTCTTATCAGGAGATAAGACGAGGACATCTGAAGAGGAGGGGCAGAAAAGTCAGGATCAAATGGCCTTTTTACACAATGCAGAGGATTAACCCCTTAGGTTCCACAGGGAGTAGAACAAGCATGCTTTACTGTATACATGGAATATCATTCGCTCTGCAATTAATCTATTCCAAAAACATCTTCCATTCTTTTCAATACATTCAAGGCATCCTGTGTTTGGAGGAGGAAGAACATGACATTTATTTGCACCTCCTCCAATCACAGAACTTCTTGCATTCACTGAAAAAAATGCAAGATGTTTTTGGAATAGATTAATTGCAGGGCAAGCAACCCACTACAATCGATCTACTCCAGCTGGAAATGTAAGTTTCAGCGCTGGACATTCAGAGTTAACTGTATTGTATGGGGTGAAGGAAAATTAGAACAATCCACGATGCAACAGCAACCACACAATGCACACGCTGTGTTGGTGGTAATTTATTCTTATAGTGCAAATGGGCAAAACTAAACATATCACTAAAACCAAACCTAACCTTTAGGGTAGATGAGCTTCTTGCAATGTGCAGTGGAAGCTGCAGTAGGTAAGACAGAGTGAACCTAACTTCCTGGATGAAGGACATCCAGCATTGTCTAGCTCTTTCCTACCCATCCTGACTGTCCCTGGCCCACTCCTTTCATTCATTGGATTTCAGTCCTTTCGATCAACAAAGCTCAGCATTACATGTGGGCTGTCCTGAGGGAGATCTGCAGGCAAATACAGCTCACCCAGGAAAGCCTGCACCTCCAGACTGACATTTTTGCATCAAGGCATTTTGACAGATGCATAACTCCTCCAAAGAGCCACTCCTTGCATGAGGGCTTAGGGTTCTTAAGAGGAATACTTATGGAAGGGAGCTATAATGTTTTCAGGAAGCTATATACAGCACCCCACCAGACCCTCTCACCAGCCATTATCTACCTGCATTGTGCAGAGAAGCACAGAGACCCAGTCATGACATCTCGGAGTCTAAAATAAGGCATTTAGTGAAAATGGTACAGATTTATGCAAATATTTCATTAACATGTTGATGAGGCAGGAGGAATGGAAGCAGGGAAGGCAAAAGAAACAGAAAAAACTTTGGCTTTAATCTTATGATCATGGTAAAATTAAAGTGATTGTAAAAGTTTTTTTTTTTAAATAACAAACATACTTGCCTGCCCTGTGCAATGGTTTTGCACAAAGCAGCCTTGATCCTCCTCTTCTCGGGTCCCCAGCTGCCCCCCCCATCCCCCCCGCTGAGTGCCCCAAAGCAAGCTGCTTGCTCTGGGAGCACCCGTGCGCGCTCAGCCCCACCCCCACTTCCTCTTCACATGCTTTGTTGACAGCCAATGGCTCCCTCTGCTGTGTCTCAGCCAATGAGGAGAGAGAGACCTGGGAGAGCTTCTGCTCTCGTGCACAATACTGGATCGGGATCAGGCTCAGGTGAGTATAAGGGGAGGGAAGTTGAAGGGGGAGCTGCACACTGAAGGATTTTACCTTCATGCATAGAATACAAACCTTTAGTCTTTAGAACAACTCTAAATTCAATATGCAGAAGTAGTAATATTACAAGACCAAATGTATTAATGAACAATGAGTTTTAGGAAACTATATTCAGATCAAATTAATGTTGGCAAATGTATGTACAAGGGTGCCCATATATTTTTTGTAACTATTTAATGCTAGTAATGCTGGTATTACATTTAAGACTTTACTGGCAGAAAATTATTGCAACATCATATCAAGGTCAGCACAGAATAATTTTTATTAACAAAGATGGTAGATTTAGAGAGATGATTGCTGGTTAATGTCCAACAAGTGTGGCATCTTCCCCACACTACACATGCGTTTAGTTCAGATGTGAACAAACAATAGCTAGCAGAAATTTGGCTATTGCTAGTCCCGTATAAACCATTACTTAATTAATAACCCTTCCAGTGCACAAAACACATAGGAAGTGACTGTAATATTACCTCTTCATCACTGTGCTTGATGATTGGCAGGTAGTAAAACTGGCTCCCATGCTCCTTTGGTAATATAGAATTAACACCTGCTGCGTGTGAACCCACAAGCTGCTCATTGGCACTGAGATCATCAGCTGTTGGAAAGTGAAAACAAAAGAGTGCCTACTTAAAGGCATGAAATAATAGTGCAAAATTACACATAACCTGTAAATGGAAGTGCATTTATAGTAATGCTCCTGATCCTCATCACATCTTCAGTGGCCATTGTGTATCTCCACTGGGTTTGTTTAAAGGGTTAGTTCACCTTTATTGACATTCTGAAAAAATATTACATATACATTACAGCTTTGTCTGTACAGTAAAATGCTGTCCTGTTTTTAAAAATGATCCTTACTTACAGTGCCTTGAAAGAATTCAAACCCCTTGAAATTTTCCACATTTTGTCATGTTACAACCAAAAACGTAAATGTATTTTATTGGGATTTTATGTGATAGACAAAGTGGAACTTCACTCTCTCAATCAACATGGACTATTTTTAATCCTTGTGACACTTTATGATATTTTGCGTTACTAAACCACTTTATGTTGTTCCTTTTTTGGTCACATTGATTTAATAGAAGTGGCAGCAATGATTTGAGCACCAATTATATTTTTTGGCACGTTACTTTAAGTGCAATTTTGTTTTTTTTTTGTTTATTTTTAATCCTTATGCTGCTAGCATTAGTAAATAGATAGGAAAGTATATCACATTTACTTTTTATAAACTTCTTTTTTTTACATTTCTTCAGTTACTTCCTGGTTTCCATGTCTAGGCAAATAATGCCATGCATCTCAGGAGTCTTCAGGAGTGGAGGGAGGGTTCTCAGCTCAGCCAACGACTGAGATAGGGGCAGGTGGATTTCCGGGAGTAAATGCTACATGAATCATCTGCCCTTACTCAAGATTTCTCAGCAACATGAAACATGGAATCATGGATGGATGGGTGAGTTTGCTTGGAATATTAACAGCATTTTTGGTTTGTGGTGCTCAGATGCATTACATTTGCACTTCAAGATCATCACAGAAGATAAGGGGGCACTCTTTACATCTGGAGGAAGAGAGATCTAATCTCCAAATATGGAAAGGTTTCTTCACAGCTGTGAAAATGTGAAAAAGACTCTCAAGAGCTGGTTCTGGCCAGCTCAGTAGACTGTTTAAAAAAAAGGCCTGGACTCTGCAAATGCGAATAATATAACTGGATACTAATATTTATAAGTAAAGTTGGTCCAGGGAATATCTGATTGTCTCTTAGGGGATCAGGAAGGATATTTTTTCCCTGCTGCAGCAGATTGGATCATACTTTGCTGGGGGTCTTTGCCTTCCTCTGGATCAACTGTGGGTTTAGGATTGGTTGAACTAGGTGGACTTATGTCTCTTTTTCAAGCAGACTATGTAACTATGAAAATACACAATGGCCAGTGAAGCTGTGATGAGGATCCGGCGCATACAGTATATATTTTTTTAATGCCTTTAAAGGTGAAGGAACTCTTTAACAAGACAAATCAAAAAGTAATGTTAATGACACTAAGAGTAATTAGTGACAACCAATCAGGCTTTAGCTTTCAGTTATGTGAAACTGGCAGAGTTGATTTCCAGTTAAATACAGTTAAATCACAGCTCATTGTACACACAGCAACAACTACGTCAAAGTGGCACTTCATACCAAGAATCTTCTTACCATTAAGATCTAGAAAAAGGACAGGGATATGTGTCTCCATTCCAGCTGGAGGAATCCTGAACAGATAAACAAAGAACCCAGTCAATAAAAAGCAGAGTTAAAAAGAGATGGAGTTTGCAGTGGAATTGTTTTTGATGAATTGTAAATTTAACATGGGTTGCACATTGTGTGGTGTTTGGTCCCCACAGATGGGAACCAAGAGAATTTTAAATGTAAGCTATAATGTTTTGTGTAAAATATTGTGTCTTTTAAACAAAGTTAGAAGTTCAACATTTTTGTTTCATATCTAGAGGATGGGGCACGCCTTTGACTCATTCAGTTGTATGTGTAAAATTAGTTTGGTTTTTGAACTCTGTAAACAACAAACTTTTTCTAGAAAAGTAGGTAAGTATAGTCTGGAAAACATGTGGAAAGGGCCCAAGAGCTCCACCTGTTGGCTGGAAATAAAATATAAACTATTTATCATTAAATGCTTCTAATAAATCTGGTAAAAAAGGAAAATAAAAAATATTTTGGGTCCTTAGTAAAGAAATGAATAGGTTCACATTTACTAAACTATAGCACAAGAGTAAGGATCCTTTTTTTAGCCATATGACTCAAATTTCAAATCTCATTGGATTCAACTGAAAAGAACCCATTTTTATGAAAATACAAATCTTTACCGAGATGTGTTAGCTTTGTGAATGCCTGCTATATACTAACAACTATACATTTCCGTTTAACAAATTAGTAGGTTACTATTTTCACACATTTAAAACTGTGTGAAACTAGAAATAAAAGTAATATTTTAACCCCTTCATGCCTAAGGGTAAAACAAAGCTAAATGCCTAAGCAAAATTTTGACATGTGTTAGTAAAACTGTACATATCATCACAACTACTTTGTACATCCAGGTGAATTATACTGCATTTTTTTCAGGACAAATTGGGCTTTCATTTGGTGCTAAATGGTAATGGATATCTCCTGATTTTCTTTCTATTATCAAAAGGAAACCTGGCCCAAAATAGAAAAAAAAATATCATTTTTTATTTAGCTGTGTGTTTCTTGTTACGACCATAACATACCACCAAAGAACAACCCAAAATAAATTCTCCAGCTCTTGACGATCGCAGCGATACCATATATGCGTGTTGTTTTTTTTTTGTACCCGTAGTAGAGCCCAGAATCAATAGTGCGCATTTTGTTTTTGTCTTTTTTTTTTTTTACCTAAAACACACTGACACTGACATTGACACTAACTGACACTGATACCAATTTTTTTTTTAATCCTGACCTTTGACCCTGACCTTGGCCCAAATAACCCTGGCACTGAACTAGATCAAACCTTGATTATGTATTTTTTCTTTATTTTTTAAAATTTTTTAATATTTCTTTTTTCTTTTTTACAAACATTTTTTTTTCTCTCTATGCCAGGAGTTAGAGAGATACAATGTATCTCTCTTCTCCATTCATAGAGAGAGAGAAAAAAAACAAGGGGGCCGGGCTGCACAGTGACTGATCACTGTGATAGCCAATCAGAGGCTATTACAGCGATCATGTGACCCGGAATCAGGAGTCCCGTGTCCAGATTGTTAGAATGGGACCCGGGGCTCTCAGTGACACCGCGGTCTTTGTGCTGGGAGTGCGCTCCCAGCACAAAGACAGGTACGCAAATATGCGGCCTCAAGGAAAAAAGCCCAGTTCCATGAGGCCACATATTTGAGTGACGTCGGCGTCAAGGGGTTAAATATTCTGCATATATGGTTTTTTTATATACTTTGTGATGTATACTTATTTAATACATATTTAGAATATGGTATTTTACTTATTTTGTTGCCTGCATTTGTAAAGCAAATAATGTATGTACAATCCTGCACAAAATCGATTTATAGATTGAATAACTATATCATCAGCCCAAAGAGTTCAGCCACCAATTGCAAGCTTTGGATTGGCATGCTTTATGTGTACTCTAGGTAAGCCCCATAAAATATGCGCAATGTTTTGCTCTGTCCCCGCGTCTGGGTTTTTTTTGTAGCATGCAAATTTGGGTACTCGGGGGGTATTTGATAATGTAATTTTGTATTTATTTTGGGTTTGTACTGTTGGGTCCTCCCACGGGCCAGTCAGCACTTTGCTTATTCCCCAGTTGGGCTATGAAATCTACACAGGGCCAGGGGTGAGTGAGAACAACTAGCATCACCCCCCCCCCCTTTTTTTTTGCTCCTCTGATGTTATGGACAGATTTTTGTTATATTTGATGTATGTTGATAATTTCACTGTATGTATTAGCTTTTTTGTTGTTTTTTTCTATAATGAACATAATAACTTTGGTCAAGTATACATGCGGTGCTTAAACTCCTAATGTAGGTCACACATCCATGAAAAACATTGACCACATACACTACTGTTGTCGCCCATTGACACACCTAACTGATTTTATATTGTTCTGTATTTATTTCTTTACATTTTAAGAGGACACCTGGACACCTTCATCCACTTTTGTTGAATAAAAATGGTCAGCTTTTAGCCATATTTTTCTACCTTCTATACTCTACACTTTGGGGTCGATCCCCCGAGGAACTTCCTGTTTTTTAGATATATATTTCAGCTCATTTAAGATTGTTTTCATGGAGATGCATGGAAATGCTTTTGTAATTAGGCAAATCTATGATCCTGCAGCGCACGCCAAGGCGAATGTCAACTGTTTTCCCTTACACAGCAGTAGTTTACTTGCTACATGCTTTTCTCAGTGCTATTTAAACAACCTCTATTCCACATAAGAACATGTTGAGGATTAGAGTTGGGATTAGAATTGTATGTGTTATATATGGATGAATAAGACAGCTTTACTTGTTCATTTATGTCATGCTATAATTCTTAATTAATAATAACACAAGAACATGGCCATACACCAAACCAATGTCCTGATCACCACCAAACCAGCGTCCTGATCACTGCCATACCCCATACCAGCGTCCTGATCACCACCATACCCCATACCAGCGTCCTAATCACCACCATACCCCATACCAGCGCCCTGATCACCACCGTACCCCATACCAGCGTCCTGATCACCGCCATACCCCATACCAGCGCCCTGATCACCGCCATACTCCATATCAGCGTCCTGACTACTGCCATACCCGCGTCCTGATCACCACCATACCCCATACCAGCATCCTGATCACCGATACCCCATACCAGTGTCCTGATCACCGCCATACCCCATACCAGCGTCCTGATCACCGCCATACCCCATACCAGCGTCCTGATCACCGCCATACCCCATACCAGCGTCCTGATCACCACCATACCCCATATCAGCGTCCTGATCACCACCATACTCCATACCAGTGTTCTGATCACCGTCATACTCCATATCAGAATTCTGATCACCACCATACCACAAACCAGCATCTTGATCATTGCTATACCAGCATCCTGATCACCCCATACCAGAGTCCTGTTCACCTCCATACCTCATGCTAATGAGCTGATCACTACCATACCACATTTTAGTGTCTCAATTGAGCAATTTTCAAATATATATCCCACAGTTTGTAGACTCTATTGCTTTCACACAGACTAAATAATTGACACTGATTTGGGTGTTTTTTACCCCCAAAACATAGCAGAATACATTTTATGAACAAAATGTATTTATCTACAACATAACAAAAACTAAACAAAAAAAATTTCATTTATATAGCAAAAAATAAAAACCCCAGAGGTGATCAAATACCACCAAAAGAAAGCTGTCTCAAAAAAATGCTACAAATTCCATATGGGTACAGTGTTTCGTGACTGAGTAATTGCCACTCAAACTGTGATAGTGCTGAAAGCTGAAAATTGGCCTGGACTGGAAGGGGGTGAAAGTGTCTGGACTTGAAATGGTTAAAGATAGAGGCCACCCAAAAGGTGGGAATACATAATTTCCTTTGTTTTTAGTTTAGTTTTGACCCCATGCTAACAGGGTCACATCAATAGTTGTAAACTCACCAGTTGGCTGGAGCTCCAGGTATGTCACTTCCTGGTGCTGGTACAAGAACTGCATTCCTCTCTTCTGTAAGACCCACCCACTGCTCAACCAGTCGTGCTTCCCGCTCAATATCATCTTCTGTTTTTTCTGGAAGAGTCAAAATAATGCAAAGAAGATTCATATTCACTTTTTGGGAATTACTCACTTTACCCAAGAAAAATGTTCGGATTTCTTTATGGATTTGTTCAATCTAATGGAATATTGTGCCTTTGAAGATGAGAAGCATCCAGCTGTAAATTGTAATTGTAGATAAATGTGGACAACACCCTACCATGCACTCACTTCTCAGCAACAAGCAAAATGTTTGACACTCCTCACAGGCAGTGCAATCCCAATTGAGTTCAATGAGGAACTGGCACAAAAATGTCCAACCAAATGTCCACAACATTTGTGCCATTAGAAGATTGGTGACTTATGCGCTAATACCTGTGAAATGCTGCATCTGATGTCTAATTTTGGGTATACTAATTAAGGGGGGTAGGGGAACCTGTAGAGATTTTTTTCAAGTACAGAAAAATACCCCTTAATCTGCCAGAAATGCACTCAGCCTCTAAGGCTAGTTGTGGCCTGCCAATACAGAGCATTTTGTGGACTGGAGTGGTGGCAACCCTGCCCAGTTATTTTTGGCTAAACTACTCAAACCCTCTGTCGGAGATCACCGTCGCGATGGGCTCGGCGCAGGCGCAGTGCACCGCCCTGTGCAGGCACTGGGACCTGGCCGACCGCAACGAGCGAGTTTGCGCATGCGCAGTAGGGACCGCGGGCGCGCGCGCGTGGCACCAATGACAGCGCAGGGAGGGATATTTAAATGGCCCTGAGCTGTCATTCAGTGCCTTCTGGTCTTCCCTGTATCCTGTATCTGCGAACCTGTGATTTGTAAGTTGCTGACCCGGATTGTGCTCTGACCTTGCTATATTCTCCTGCCCAGAACCTTGCTTTGCCTGACCTCTCTCTTGGATGCCCCCTATTGGATCTGACCTGCTGTTGCTGACCTGGCGTGTGACCCGACTATTCTCTGCCCGCTGCCTTGTACCGTACCGTCCTCTCTGTTACCGACCCGGCCTGTCTAACTTCGCACCTGCTCAGCCATCCATCCCTCCCAGTGGGGTCTTCAGACCTCCTCATATCAGGCTCTCCCCCGTGGGAGCCCTCGGCGTATACCACTACCACTGACGGGTTTACCCAGTAGCCACAACCTGGTCTCAGGGTGCTCCAAGTCCATCCCCACCATCAGGGGCCCTGGTGAACAAGCACCTTGGAACTTAGATTCCGTGCTCTGGGGACGCCTATTCAGTGGAGTGCTAGTGGTACTACCGCCGGGTGGTCCCTTACACCCTCCCTCTTTCCAAGTCTCTACAACATATTTCTGTTCTGCGGTTCAAGATAAGAATCGAGAGTTCTAATTACACTCTCTGTGATAACACAACGTGTTCACAGGTCACATAACAGTTCTAAATTTCTGACATTGAGCAGATATAGTAAAATTATACATTTAATAGAACAAAATGGAAATAAAAACAGAATTTCATTGCTTGTCTCTACATATGTCTCTACAGTGTTACTAAACCCACAACAGTAAAATTAGTCTGTATATGCAGTAAAGCATGCTTGTTATACTCACTGTGGAACCTAAGGGGTTAATCTTCTGCATTGTGTAAAAAATGCCATTTGATCCTGATTGCTCTGTTCCTCCCCTTGTTTAAGCAGCCACCTCTTATATCCTGATAAGAGAGACTGAACCGTAGACATTTTCCACATGCTCAGTTTGGTGTTTATTGCTAAAGAGGTTTTTTTTTCTTGGGAGAGTGCATGTGATCAGCACAGGGCCAATTAGCACTGGCCAGACAGAGGTCAGGGGGTTTGCATCTTCATAGAGCAGAAGGAAAACTCCTCCTACAAGCTTTAGCTAGTGCTTGGCTGGACACTGATAGAAGTCACAAGACTACTATATACTGCTGATGAGAAAAGGTATTTAGCAGTTTATATTTACTAAAATAATTGCATTTCCTGTGTACTGTGGGAGACCAGATATAGTGAATGCAGGGTTCTGGGTTTAGTAAAACTTTAAAGTATAGCATCTTCAAAAAAGGGATTTGCTCTGCTGTAGCAGAATTATGTCATAGATTGGCCCATATTTTTGTACGTAATGCTTTTCAGTATTTGCACAACAAAGAAATCACAAAAAAATGTGCAAACATGAGAAAAGGTTAATTTTCAACATAGATACCTTGCTTGTTGATGATTTTCTGTATTTGTTCATCCAAGTATTCCTTGCGTTTAATTAGTGCATCTGACCACCTTTCACGCACACAGTTCAGGTCCTCCTCCTGTTCATTGGAAAAAATACATACGACAGATATATGGTTTTGTTTATTCATTATTTTATCGTGAATTTCGGTAAGTGAAAATTAACAAATGATGCCATTAAAACAGTTTTATGCTGTTTTTCTATGTAAATCGGTGATGGGAAAAACTTTTATAGACTTCTTGAGATGAATAATGGATAACATGACATAATCTTATATTATTTGTCTAATTGCGAATTTAATTATTCACATATAAATTTGTTCTCGGACAGCTTAGATTTTTTTTGTTTTATGAGTAAACATAAAAAATACAACAATAAACATTTTTAATGGCGAATGGCTAGAATGATGTTTGCCTGCTATACTCCTTAAGGTATTCCAGAAAAATTGATTAAAGCAATTCCACCATTAGTGTTGCAAACAGCTGCTTGCCAGACTGTCAGCAGATCCAACAGTATATATTTCATATCCATGCAAATGAAACCCCATCATGCATCATGCCCTGCCGTTGTTGGGTGTCTGATGGGTGTGCCGAAAGCATTAACGCATAGTTATTAGTTAGTGCGTTTGTGAAGAAGCTTAATATTGTTAGTCATATGTTGTAGATGTCATTAAATGTACAGATTCCCTTTTGTCGCTACTAAGTTACTTAAAAAAAGCAGGTTTGTTGCATTCATATACAACAGAGGTATGTTTATGGGAGCCAATTTATGAACTGTGCCACAGGGTCAACAGAAACTTCATATTCAGTTCAGCCCTGGTCATATTTCTCTAATGAGGTGGATCCAAGTATTTATATATATTCTAATATGTCTAATATGTATGACAATATTACATATAGGGTAAGGATTATCAGCAATGAAGCACAATTTTCTAACACAGCTGCTATAATAGTAGGCCCTCAAGAGGCTAAAGGGGGGTTTCTACTTTGAACAGTTGGTTCATGCTTCATGTTTTTCAGGATCTTGCAATGGCTAGATTTCAAAGAATGGCATAAACATATACTCCTGCGCTGGAGGATGGACTCCACAGAGCTATGAGACCACAAGTGGGATGCCTGGAAACTGTAGGCCTTGCTGCCCTCAATGGACCAGGGGGATCCAGAATACTACATACAAAGAAACAAACAGAGAGCACACGGGCCTAGTGCATTAACTTTTTAAAAGATCATTTATTCAATAAATAAGTGGTAATATACTCACAAAGGAACAAATGTCAAGGGCAGATCATATATAGTACAGCAAGGTCCAGTCACACTGGATGATATCCGTAATGAGACTCCTAGACCTCCAAATGGCTGATGCGTTTCGAGAGCTTGCCTCTTCATCAGGGCCAATCCTTGCCATTTTGTTCCTTTGTGAGGATATTACCACTTATTTATTGAATAAATGATCTTTTAAAAAGTTAATGCACTAGGCCCGTGCACCCTCCGTTTCTTTGAATAGCTAGATTTCACCTTAAGGGCTCATTCACACCATATCAGTTGATCTTCATTGATATGCACAGATTAGCACACAGTCAGCACTAGGGCACATAGAAAACATCTGAAATGATGTGTTTTTTCACACTGCACCTTGCCTCATGTTACTGAATGTCACTACGCCACAACTTTGCTATGGTGCATATAAGTAAATTAAATGTCATTTACTTCTGTGCAATGGACACCAGCCCTACACAGTGGACACAAGCCCACACAAATTTTAGCACATGAGCTGGTATGAATGAGCCCTTAGCAACGTTGTACTTTTGTAATCACTACTAAAGTGTTATGGCCATACTCCTTGATATCACAAACAATGGTGGTGGTGCCCATAAGCTTGCAGCCTAATATTGATCATAATGTGTGCTGGTATCTCTGTACATAGTCTACAACATGTTTTGTGTAATAATGTTGAATTCTGTTAGACAATGTTATATATAGTGACACATATGTAAGCATTTTAGGCGATGGTTCAGTGATGGCAGTAAGGTGTGGGGTTTTTTTAAGCTCCCCTTTCCCAGCTCCATAAGCTCCACCCTTTTTCCAAATTCCATTTCCCACGCTCCACAAGTTCTCCTCCCCCTTTTTTTTCCACGTAGTGGTGCAGAGCAGAACCTTGTCCCAAGCCAGGGGATTGGAAGCAGTCACTGTAATAATACCTGGTAACTATCCATATCATCACCACCATCATCATCTTTCTGGTAGGAGAAAATACATGATGTAAACAGGACATGCATTGCTTTCATCACATAGTAACAAAGCAAAGAGCACTAGTATTATAACAAGTTATGCACACAATAAACCATAGAGAAAGGGATAATGTATAGACCTAAAGAGCAAATAACATCTGTGAGGCACAGCTGGAGGTAACAAAGTCACATAAATATCAAATGATGTACGAAAAAAATGGAGATTGGTGGTGAGTTTATTGTATACTTGTATGTGGTTTATGGAGAATATTTCAATAAACTACTAAAAGTACACATGTGCCCTGACTATGCACACTTAAATATTTACATAGTTTGACAAAGCAGTAAATGTGGTTTGAAACAAACTGCCACTAACCCCTCTAGCTGTAGGCATTGTTGAGAAATTCAACTTCAATGTTGAAAACAGAGGCACTGAAATCACAACTTCTCTCCCATTATTTTCTACGGAAGCAAAAACTTGGCAGTCTATCAACTTTTTAATGTAAACAAACAAAAGATGCTAGTAAGATATTAGTTTAATGTCGCAGGACAGGACCACTAATTTATAATGTACCTTTGTTAACCACTTGCCCTCCAGAGGATTAACCCCCCTTCCTGACCAGGCAATTTTTAGCATTACAGCGTTGCATTACTTTAACTGACAATAACGTGGTCATGCAATGCTGTACATAAATTAAATTTGTGTTTATTTTTTTTCCCCACAAATAGAGCTTTCTTTTGGTGGTATTTGATCACCTCTGCGGTTTTATTTTTTGCACTATAAAAAAAAAGTAAATTTTGAAAAAAAAAAAAAAAAAAACAATATTTTTGACGTTTTGCTATAAAACATATCCAATAAAAAAATTTAAAAAATAAAATTTCTTCATAAATGTAGGCCAAAAATTATTCTGCTACATATCTTTGCTAACCCCCCCCTCCCCCCAGAAATTGTATATTAATTGGTTTATGTGAAAGCTATAGAATCTACAAATGGCGGTATAGATACTGGAATTGTTATTTTTATTTTTTATACTAGTAATGGCAGCGATCAGCGACGTAACTCGGGACTTCAGGACTGCGGCGGGCATTCTGACACTGGATGGGAACTAACTGCCACTGACATCCTCAATGACACTAATACAGTGATCAGTGCTAATAAAAAGCACTGACACTGTACTAATGACACTGGGCAGGAAAGAGTTAACATCTGGGGCGATCAAAGGGTTAACTGTGTGCATTTTACATTGTGTGCTGTGTGCTATTTTACTTAGGAGCCATGCTGCTTTGTATCGCTCTCCTGTGCAGAGCGATACAAAGCAGCATGTCCATGCTGACAGGAGAGAGACCTGTGTTGTTTACACACAGGTCTCTCCCCTGTCAGCTTTGCCGATGATCACCGAGAACTGGCTGGGAATCGCCAGCCGGGACCCAGTGATTGACATCCCCAGCCGCCAACAGCAGCACGGGTAGGACAGCATGCGCATGCATGTGCGCCCCTACCCCGAAATGAAAATCACGTATATATACGTGATTTTGCGCAGCCATGCTGCCCTGTAGCAGTAATGGAGTCACTTCTTCTCTGCTGAACAGATGTGATTTTACTCCTTCATTGCTATCTCAGTAGCGAGAGATTCAGCAGCACTCTGGGCCAGCCAGGGACTGATTCCATAGAGATGTGGAAAATTTTCTCAGACCATTATACTGCTGGCAATGAGGCATCAGAACAATTTCTGTAACTTCAGCCTTAGTAACAGAATAAACTTGACATTGATGCCTCTGTTGTGATCTTTGAAGATGAATTGCTTCACAATACCTGCAGCTACAGAGGTAAGTGAAGACATGTTTGAAAGCTTTTTCTACTGATAAAGAATAGGTCGTTATTGGAACAAGAAATTATTATTTAGGTTTTGCCACACAGCAGTAAATATTGTGGGTTGAAAGAAATGTAAACTGAATTCTATCATTTTTATATATTGAAAATATATGTGTCCTCTAAGTACAACAGTGGCTGTTACTAAAACTAAAGAATAGAAACCACAAAATACATGCTATTGGTTTGTTAGTCAAAAAAATCCCTCCTCTGGGTAGATCTCAAACACTAGTTTCATTTTGCTCATAAAACCTGACCTGCTAAACTTCAGGATTAAGTCCTGCCACCTGCCATTTCCCTGAAAGTGCCATTATTGCCTATTGGATCCTCACTGGACCATGGTTGTCAGTTGCTGCAGTTTAGACTTATACCAAGAGAGTAAGGCCTGTACAAAGTGAAACTGATTTTGAAAAAGTACACAGAAGAATGTTTTCAGGCTAACAAAAGTAACACAATCTTGTGGTATGTGCTTCTAGCAGACTATACATTACAAAATGCTCTTGTTCAATTTATTTTAGATTTAACTTCAACTATGTAGTGCAAGGGCCTGCCTCATTGCATAAAATTTGAAAGTGTTTAGGTTTGACCCCATATTATCTTGCTTTGGTAAATCTAAAGGAAAATTGTACAAGAAAATTGCATAATGTATGCCCAGCTGTGACGGAAGTGACTTTGGGTGGGGAGCCCATGGAACACAGCCCCCTTTGGAGAGGTGGGGAGACCCCTGTCTCAGCTGCCCATATCCCTCCTATGTGTAAGTCACCCTGTGCCTGTTAGGGGTACAGGATGATCTGTCCTAATATTGTGTAGACATGTATAGGTAGGGTATGGGGGTTGTTCATTGTTTACTGCCATGTGGTGCATCCCATTGTTCTATTGTGTGTCTTGCTTGGTGGGGGGTATCTGCTGATGTGTCTCTGGTTGCTAGATTTGGTTTGCCCCGCCCTGTGTCCATATGCAGTGAGGTGGGTTGTTCCCTTGAATGTTTATATCTTGTATCTGTGTTAAAATAAAGCAGTCTATTTCCTGGTTTCCTTCAAGTCTAGTAGTCTCTAGTCTTGTTTGGTCAGCGGTGGGGTCCGTGGTCGGTGTTCGGACAGGGAAGCGGGAGTTTAACGGAAATACCTAAGTGTACTCGGGGAACGGTTCCGTTAGACCAGCCTATGGCATTTTATAAATGGTGCTCATTCCCCCACCCTTGTCTGGCTGCTTGTCCAATGGGAGCCATGGAGAGTTAGCCATATGTAATTTCCAAAATTAGGACAGTGTTGGAAGCCAGAGTGGCCAATCACCAACATGGGAGAAAGAGAGTCACATGTTCCTCCATACCTGAAATTACAAGGAATTTTTTACCAGGCACTTCAATGCTACTTGCTGAAGGAAAAGTGAGGATGTGCTGCTGGTGGGACTGCTTCTGAATTAGAGCTGTTGCATTATCCTCCATGGATAAAGCAGAGGCTCACTATAAGGTACCTAGTACATGTAGTTATCCTTTCTACCCCAGTCCAGCAAAGTGTATAGGCAGACCAGCATGACCAATCAGAGATCAGAATAATAGTAAACCCCCACAGGATTTCTGCATAAATATATCCCCTACAGCAGGTCCTGATCATACTCAATCACAAAAAAGTTCATTATATAAATGGAAAATTAACCTTAAAAGGTCAAACCCTGAAAGCAACTACTGTAGCAGCCTTACACAGTTCATTAACAGAGATAAAGGATATTTACAAAAAGTGATAACTCAATGGAAAAAGGTTTCAAACAGTTGATTAAATCCCAATCATGACACCACCTGCTTGGAGTTTGTTCTCCCTGTGTCTGCGTGGCTTTCCTCCGGGTACTTCGGTTTCCTCCCACACTCCAAAGACATGCTGGTAGGTTAATTGGCTCCTGTCTAAAATGGTCCTAGTATGTGTGTATGTATGTATGTATGTATGTATGTATGTGAATTAGGGACCTTAGATTGTACGCTCCTTGAGGGTTAGGGACTGATGTGAATGTACAATATATATGTAAACCGATGCGTAAATTGACAGCACTATATAAATACCTGAAATAAAATAAATAAATATACTATTAAAATATATGCACTATACTCTGCCTGTATATGGCTACTGGCCTTGAATCTTAAGCATGTGATAAAAGTAAATATGAAAAAGCACATAAACCACAGCTATGGTTGTGTTCACAAGTATAATACTTATGGCCATGCATAATAGTCGCACTCAAAATTTTTTGTATTTAATTTTGTGCAGAGAATGGAAGGGTAGACAGAGCATCTTTAAGGTTTTTATTGCCACCTGTGCCCCAATGAAGGACATTTCCCCTTACTTTCTGTCAAGACAGAAATTTCAGAAAAATCTCTCCAATGGGAATAAAAAGATTTATTAGACTGGGGAAGGGTCAGAATTTGTGACAACGTTTTTACAACGGTCTGTGCCATCCTGTCCTGGTGACAACCACTCTCCTCACTTTTAAAATTGACATCACAGAAACAGAAAATAAGCAAAGTCTCTGCAAAGGGGACATGAAGAAAAATAAAAAATACCTTATTTCAGGCTCAACTGTGTCACGAATCGTTGTCTGTGCTTCTCTATGCAATACAGGCAGATAAAGACTGGTGGAAGGGGTTGACCCAGTGCTATACATAGCTTCCTGTAAACATCTCAGCACCCTAACTCAGTACACATCTCAAGAACTCTCAGTCCCGATGCAAGCAGTGGGATAGCTCTTGGGAGGAGTTATGAAAATATCAAAATACCTTAATGGGTGGATTTTGCATGCAGATGGTGTTAGGCAACACCCATATGCAATACTGAACCTCCATGATTAAAATAACTGAAATGAATGAAAAGTGCAGGCCAGGAATAGTAAGCTGCTGTTTTTGGCTTTTTGGAGTTTTTTTCTACAGCCAGTAAACTCCTCAGCATGTTATCCTATGTGTCCATGCACACATAGGCTTTAATCATGGGCAGCACAGTGGCTAAATGGTTAGCACTTCCGCCTGGCAGTACTCGGGTCTCTGGTTTGAATCCCAACCACGGCACCACCTGCCTGGAGTTTGCATGTTCTCCCTGTGCCTGTGTGGGTTTCCTCCGGGTACTCCGGTTTCCTCCCACACTCCAAAAGACATGCTGGTAGGTGAATTGGATCCTGTCTAAATTTTCCCTAGTATGTGTATGTATGAATGAATGTAAGTTAGGGACCTTAGATTGTACGTCCCTTGAGGGTTAGGGACTGATGTGAATGTACAATATATATGTAAAGTGCTGTGTAAATTGATGGCGCTATATAACTACCTGAAATAAATAAATAATAAAATAATCAATAATTTTTTGGCTTGGGAAAAAAAACCCTGAACTGGTGGGTTTCTAGGAGTTTTTTTTTTTAGCTGTAAAAATGCTCTAATGCTGAAAAATGCAGTAAACAACGGCAAACTGACATTTTTGGATGTTTTTTTTTAGCACAAATTGTATTTTTTGTTTTTGTAAAAAAACACTAAAAAATCCAAACACGGAAAAATGTGGCTAAACGCTAATGCAAATGTTTTTAACGTGACTTTACACAGCTAACACTACCAGTGTTATTAAAACTCCCAGAGCACATGGAACCTAAGGCTAGGGAGGGAATGCCTTGAACATACTGGATGTCATCCAGCCCAGAAATGGAGTGGGCTCTATCTGACTTGCTGCAGCTTTCAACGCACACAATGATAAACTAATAGTGTGCAATTAAATCAGAGCAAGCAATTTGGAATCTGATTGTTTGATTGATCCTGTGGACAGGTGTCTTTTACACAGGTAACAAAATGAGACTAGCAGCACTCCCTTTAAGAGACTGCTTCTAATCTCAGCTTGTTACCTGTATGAAAGACACCTGGTAGCCAGAAATCCTGCTGAATGATAGGAGATCAAATACTTATTTTCCTCATGAACATGCAAATCAGTGCATCATTTGTTAGACATGCATTTCTTTTGAATGTTTTGTTGCTTATCTGTCTCTCAGTGTTACAATACACCTACCATTCGATTTCTAGACTGATCATTTCTCTGTGAGTGGGCAAACATTCAAAATCAGCATGGGACCAAATACTTATTTCCTTCACTGTAAATATTATGTCATTTGTAGACGCTATAACTTTCACGTAAACTAATTAATTGACACATATTGGGATTTTTTTCTTAGCAAAGACATGTAGCATAATACATTTTAGCCTAAATTTTTGATGAAATTAGATTTTTTTTATTTTTCTACTGGATATGTTTTATAAGAAAAGGTCAAAAATATATATATTTATTTTCAAAATTGTCGACCTTTTTTTGTTTATAGCACAAAAAATAAAAAACGCACAGATAATCAAAAACCACCAAAAAAAGCTCTATTTGTGGGGAAATAAATTTGATTTATGTACATTATTGCATGACCGTGCAATTGTCAGTTAAAGTAACATATCGCCGTATCGCAAAAAATGGCCTGGTCAGGAAGAAAGGTAAATATTCTGGAGGACAAGTAGTTAAACTGTCACACTTACAATATACACACAGTATATACATACATACATACAGTATGTACACAGACACCTATACAGTATGTCTCAGCTAGGTATCATGCAAACATCTAAATTGCTTGAAACATTTCTCCATCAATTTGACATTTAGATTAAATATCCTTTATGTCAGTCATAATTGGTAGTAGATTACAGATTCTGGTTTCCCTTTAGTTACCTGATAACTGTCCAGTCCCTTCTGTAACTTGGTTGAACGAGCTGTGATACAGCCAATTGAAACAGAGAGAATGGCTTCAACCATGAGAGGCAATGTGCCGGAATTCTGCACAGGATTCACAGTCACCTGAACTCGCCGAGAGTGACCCTGAGTAAAAGAAAATCAAAAGGATAGTACCATACAAGAAAAACAAATTACATTTCTAAAACATAAAAATAATCCTAATTTAATTACCTGTCTGAGTTGGAATACACCACCTGTATTCACATCCTTTGCTTGATGCAGTTCCACAGATGTATATTCCCCATTCTCATTTAACTCATGAATGGATATCCACAATTCAATCCTTCTTGTTACTTCATTCCACCTAAAGAAAAAATCCATTAGGGCAGGGACTGATGTAAATTTACTATATAAGTGTAAAGCGCTGCGTAAATTGACGGCACTGTATACAGCAGGTAAAATAAGTATTGAACACGTCATCATTTTTCTTGGTAAATATATTTCTAAAGATGCTATTGACATGAAATTTTCATCAAATGTCAGTAACAACCCATGCAATCCACACATACAAAGAAAACAAAACAAATACGTTCAGAAATTAAGTTATGTGTAATAAAATGGAATGACACAGGGAAAAAGTACTGAACACATGAAGAAAGGGAGGTTCAAAAAGACATGGAAAGCAAAGGCAGCAGCTGAAATCTATTAGTAATTAGAAAGCAATCCTGCCCCTTGTCAGTGCAAATTATATCAGCTGGTTCAGTCTCAACTGATGGCCTATAAAAAGGTGTCTCATTAGCAAGGTGTCACATCTCATGACGTAAAATAGCAAATAGCTCTCTCAATACCTTTGCAACCTTATTGTTGCAAAATATACTAATGGCATTGGTTACAGAAGGATTTCTAAAAATCTGAATGCTCCACTGAGCACTGTTGGGGCCATAATCTGGAATTGGAAAGAACATAATGTCACCATAAACCGGCCCTGAGCAGGTGCTCCTTGCAAGATGTGTGACAGGAGTGTAAAGAATTAGCAGAAGAGTTGACCAAGAGCAAAGGACCACTTGCGGAGAGCCTCAGAAAGACCTGGAATTAGCAGGTACAGTTGTTTCAAAGAAAAAAATAAGTAATGCACTCAACCGCCATGGCCTGTATGCACGGTCACCACGCAAGACTCCATCGGTGACGAGAAAGCATGTTGAAGCTTGTTTAAAGTTTGCTGCACAACATTTAGACAAACCTGTGAAATGCTGGGAGAATATAGACTGGTCAGATGATACCAAAATTGAACTCTTTGGATGCCATAATACACACCATGTTTGGAGGTCAAATGGCACTGCACATCACTCCAAAAACACCATACCAATAGTGAAGTTTGAAGGTGGGAACAACATGGTGTGGGGCTGTTTTTCAGCATACGGCACTGGCAAACTTCATATTACTGAAGAAAGGATGAATGGAAAAATGCACCAAAGACATTCTTGATAAAAATCTGCAATGGAAAGAACTAAAGATCAAAGTTTATAGAAGAGGCCCACGGAACCTTCAAGATTTGTTTGTGTGGAAAAATGGGCCAAAATCACACCAGAGCAATACATGCAACTAGTTTCTCCATACAGGAGGCATCTTGAAGCGGTCATTACCAACAAAGGATTTTGTATGAAGTATGAAATACATTTCAGTTAGCGTGTTCAATACTTTTTCCCTATGTCATTCCATTTTTTTACACATAACTTTATTTCTGAACTTATTTGTTTTGGTTTCTTTGTATATGGATTGCATAGGTTGTTATTGAGGTGGTGAAAAGTTCATGTCAATAGCACCTTCAGAAATACATTTACTGAGAAAAATGGTGACGTGTTCAATACTTATTTTACCTGCTTGTAAGTGCCTTTAATAAATAAATAAATACAATAAATAAAGGCCATGGAAAACATGATCAAAGTGTATGTATAACAAAGTCTTTTTTTTGGATAGAGCAGGGAGGGGTAAGGGGTATGTTCCAAAGGAATCTGATATGCAACTGCAGCGTATTTTGACATCAGTTTGAGACACACTTAGAATCATTCAGAATACACTGAAGTTGCATTTGACCTGCATTTGATTTTCCCTGCTTCAGCTGCTTTTGCATTCTTGCAGACTTGTATGTGGAGAGTAGTTCTTATGCGAACAAAAACCTGTCAACACTGGCTCTTAAAATCCCTGCCACTTTACTATTGGGGAGCTTTTCTTCCACATTCTGTCCTGAAGACACAAGAGGAAGTGAGAAGAAATCACCATAAAGTGAGAGGAAATCTCCTTTTAGACAGGTGTGAACGGAACAGATGTACCTATTGGAAGATTTACTATCTCCTCTTGTTCTTGTGACAACTCTAAAATATTGGATTTCATATAATCTTTTGTCCTTCTTGGCACCAGGACAAATTAACGAAGAAAAATCTATCTAATGAGGATGCAAACACAGGCTCACTTAAGAATAATTGGGGCACTGCATACATGTCCATCATTAGAACAAATAAGCTTCACAACTAAACCTACCTATCTCGCAGAGTTCGAGATTTAGCATGGAGAGAGTCAATTTCCCACACAGATCTTCCGTTTCCAGCACATCTGTGACCCCAAACTTCTATTGCAAGGGCACCCTCAGAGATGAACTCCAAAAATTCTTCTGTAATGCTAATCACATAATCCTAAAAAAAAAAAAAAAATAAACAAACACACAATGGTTAAATTTGTAGTGGTAAAACTACCTCTGAATCACTGCGTGTGCTGGGTATTGGAGATCATTTTTCACTTGAAGATATCGTGTGCACATCTAAGGTCTCATTCCCATGGCCATAACAGAGTCGTAAAAATATATTGATCGTTAAGGCAAAGAACAAAAGTTCCAGTGTAATTATCAGTAAATACATCCATTTTTTTAATGCGCAAAAACTATTCTGTTCTTTTTTTTTTCAATGGTATCTGTGTATACGAACATCCTAAAATGCAGATTTTTGGATTTTATATTATTGATATAAAGGCAGTGCATTTTTTATGCATCTGTATTAATGCCTCCACTGGAAACAATGCAGCTGCATTCGGATCATAAATAAAAAACATTTGTAAAAGCATTTTTTTTACAGCTGTGTGAATGGAACCTTTATGGGTGTAAAGCTCATCGTACATCTTATAGTCTTATTGTAAAATCACCTTTAGATTCACAAAAACTGTGTAAAATGAGTATCTACCTAAACTATCTAGTCATTTTTTATCCCTGATTTACCAACATCTACTCAGTGAGTGTAGCTGCTGAGAGAACCAACTGTAAATTTTGAGGATGAATTGCTCCATAGTGCCTGCAGCTACAGAAGTCAGTGAGGCCTTGTTTTGAAACGCATTTGCAAATCATTAAGAATAAGAAAATACTTGGATGTCCATAGCCTTGCTATGATATTACTTCTGTAAGATTTTGCGTGATGAATTACCTTGGAATGTGCAAATTTTACAGTAAACTGAGCATCTTTACTTCTTGGTGAAGGCATGTCAGGATTGACCAAGGGTGGTGCTACTGTAGGTTCTGACTGATCCCAGAAAGTGTACTGACAGAATACAAAGTTTGACAGATTCAAGGGAAGGCCTGTAGCGTCTTTTATTTTCACCTGTGAATGATCAAATGAAATATATTTTAATATTACTAGAATCCACATTAATACATTGTCTTAATCCCAATGTTTACTTTACAAGGAATAGTCTTTTTCATTTTGTATATTTTCACACTGCAATAAGCACTGCAATAAGCACATTATCCAATGATCAAACCACATCTTGATGTAAACTAAAGTTATCCATGCTTTCACACTGCAATAAGCACATTGTCCAATGATCAAACCACATCTTGATGTAAACTAAAGTTATCCATGCTTGGGTCATTCTGGTGGTATGCTACCAAGCAATATAAGTGCTGAGCATAAAGCCTAATGCAGATCTGCCACAAATCATGCAATTCAAACTGAGCATATATAAGAAGTTGTTACTTTCGGTAAAAACTGCATGGTAAACTGTTCAATAGATTTGAAGGTAAAGACATCCAACGTTTAAAATCGTAAATATTCGTGTAAAATATGAGCTTTCTTTCCTCCCTTTTTACCTCTTGTGCCTCTCTATTGGTCACTGAAGGTGCGCATTACATTAAAGGCCCAAGAAAAAGGCTTGAGAGGCAGAAAATGTAGGGCCAAACCATTTTAAGAATAGTTGATTTTTCCATATTAATTCAGAGGCTTGCATCTCTGTATCAAAAACATTAAGAAGATCCAAAGTTTTCACTGAAGGTTTGCATTCTCCACGTTTGTAACAAGCTTAATTAAAGATGTCAGACTTGTTTAGACCTATGCTGTCACAAGCTCTTTAACAAGGTCCTTTTCAAGATCTAATGAAAGAACTGACCTGTCGCATAATAGTTGGACATACATATGGTAATAAATATCTTACCTCAATTATTTACCAATATACTGTTAGCAGCCAGAAATGATACTTACTCGGCAGGTCAACTTTTTGGGCCTGTAGATTATTTCACCACTGTTGTCAATGATTTCAAAACTACCACTTTCGCTGGAATTTTCTGAAGAGTCATCACCCACTACACACTCAGGAACCACACCCGTAACCCGCATCACTTCAACATGAAGCCGTCCTGCAACCTAAGAGAAGACAGGCTGCTTGTAACCTTGCTGATGACTTTGTATCTGTTGTTTTTACAGTGTCTGATAATTGTTTAATCAACAAACAAATCTATTAGCAATGCCATTCTAAACAGTCTGGAAATCCAGTTTATATTTTGACGTTAGCTGTTGTTATGAGCCTAATAAAGCATGCCATAGATGTTCGTCCTTTGAGAGTTCTTTACATATTCATACAATTTGTTCTACAGTGAAGTAAAAAAAAATCTATAATACAAAATGTTTCATACCTCCCCCTGCTGGCTAATGATAGGCACTGCATATTGAAGTTTAACATCATAGAAGAGACACTCTAGAAACACATTAGCCACTCCAATAAGATTGTGATTTTCTTGTGCTTCATAAAATGGATCCCCCTTTTTATATGTGATTTTTTTATTCTGAGAAAAAAAAAAGAAGAAAAATAGAGAAATAATAATAGTGATGCTGTGTGTAAATATATACATATAACTGATATTAACCAGCAGAGCCAACATTAAGCAGATAAAAGTTACTTTGTTATCCAGATGAGATGTAGATTCAGTTCTGGCAATTATTTAATATTCCCAACTATTTCACCATTACTTTGTTTTATCTTTGGTGTTATATGCTGGATAATTCCTGCTGAGGACACAATATATGGGTGTCCTTTGTAAGGTGGCCGGGAACTGGTAGATTTTCATCTTATTATTACTGAAGTCAATTTAGAGAATAAGCTCATCTTTTACTAAAAATAATAAATGTACATTTTTTTGCAAAAAAAAAAAAAATGTGCATTTATTATTTTCTGTTGCACAGGTCTCCTGCAGGTCTGTCAGTATATCTGTTTGCCCGTACAGGATGTATGAGTGAGCAGCAGATATACTGACAGGAAGAATCAATGAACTATCATGGCGCTCCACAACACCGTGGTAGTTCATTGAGAACTACTAGCCGATAGCCGCTAAGGCTGTCAGGACTGCAAGTTTCTAATTCACAGAAAACAAAGATTGCTGGGTACGCGCCCCCATGGGTGTGCGGGAGGGCACGTTCTGGGAGGACCTAATATGACGCCCTCCCAGAACTGGCCGGCCGCAGCGAGCCTGTCATTCGGCTATCTGCGCTCAGCAAGTGGTTAATAAATATAAACTGCTAAATACCTTTACTCATGAGCAGTCTTGTAACTTCTATCAATTACCAGGAGAGCACTGGTTAAAGCTTGTAGGAGGTTTTCATTCTCCACTAATTGTCCTATGAGGCTGCATAACCCCTGACCCTCTGTTTGGACAGCGCTGATCACATGCACTCTCCCAAGGGAATAAAAACTCTCTAGCAATATTCACCAAGCTGAGCATGTGTAGCTTGCCCCCAAGGCTCTGTTATATCAGTAGATGGTTTGGGGCAGTAGAAGAAGGGTAGGATGAGAGAAGGAAGGATCAAACAGCCTTTTTACACAATGCAGAGGATTAACCCCTTAGGTTCCACAGTGAGTATAACAAGCATGCTTTACTGCATATACAGACTGATTTTACTGTTGTGGGTTTAGAACACTTTAAGAGGCAGACCTGATGGACCACAGGGTTTTTTCCTTCTGTCACTCTTCTACATTCCCATGTTATACTTACCTGTCTGACTTTGCTGGGATCTTCCACAGCAGATAGCCTCTCCACAGGAATTAAAAGAGATTGCGGTGTGTATAAATGACAGGCACATAGATCACCTGGGAGACTTTTGGAGAAGCTGTGAAGCACCCAGTAGACCATACAGTGAAGATCTTAGCAGAGCGAAGATAGCTGATCATATTTATTTATATAGCATTGAGAATTTCCTCAGTGCGTTACATACTGTACATTCACATCAGTCCTTGCCATTAAGGAGCTTACAATCTAATGTCACTATCTCACTATCTATTCTTTTTGCAGAAGCCATTTATCATTTTTTTTTTAAAACACTTTGCTCATGTTTGAAATATGCTGTCATTCATTTTTGAGACCCTTGCTACGGACATTAAACCATATCAGTATATCAATATTTTGGAACAATGCACTTAGGAATACAGGCACTAATTTGGACTCCTTGAATCCTGTGTTTAACGAAAAGGTCACATTTCACAGTGCTAATTAGATTCCCTCTTTTGCAGCTGATACACACCTCCTAATGGCAATCAACCTAAAAGGAACCATCTCTACAGCCAAGTTTGGTATTCCTGAGACATAGTGCTTTTGGTTTATGGTGCTTCCAGTAATTTGTCCAGCCCTTAATACATACAGTATGTATAGCTATGATTTAGAACATAATAAATTAATAGACTCTTACTAGAACCCCTCAAGAAAAGTCAGACTTTCACCCTTGAAAACAAAATTATAACTCAAACCTTTTCTCTTAATGAAACTCAAAAACCCTTTACACCAAATATCAAACAATATAAATTATTATTATTATACAGTATTTATAAAGCGCCAATAGTTCACTCAGCGCTGTACATTACAATGGGGGACAGAACATGTGACAGAACAATAACAATACAATGCAAAACATGAGGGATTGAGGGCCCTGATCTTACAATCTAGGAGGGAGGGGATAGTGGCACAGGAGGAGATAGCTGTGGGGGATGGAGTGGTAGGAAGAGTGGAGGAGGTCGGCAAGTTAGCAGGGGGTGGGGTAGGCTTCCCTGAAGAGATGGGTTTTCAGGGTGCGCCTAAAGGAGAGGAGAGTAGGTGATAATCTGATGGGTAGGGGCAGGGAGTTCCAGAGGATGGGTGACACCCTGGAGAAGTCCTGGAGGCGGGCATGGGAGGAGGAGACCAGGGAACTAGAGAGAAGGAGGTCTTGTGAGGAGCGGAGTGTGCGTGCTGGGCGCTACTTGGATATTAGGTCAGTGATGTAGTTCGGGGTAGTATGGTGGACAGCTTTGTACGTCAGTGTTAGGATTTTGAATTTGATCCGTTGCGCAATCGGAAGCCAGTGGAGGGATTGGCAGAGGGGGGGGGTGGCGGAGATGGAGCGGTTGGAAAGGTGAATGAGTCTGGCAGCCGTATTCAGGATCGACTGAAGCGGGGATAGCCAGCAGCGAGGCAGGCCAGTGAGGAGGGAGTTGCAGTAGTCGAGTCGTGATATGATGAGGGAGTGGATGAGCTGTTTAGTGGTTTCTGGGGTTAGGAAGGTGCGTATTTTGGCGATGTTGCGGAGGTGGAGTCTGCACGAGCTTGTTAAAGATTGGACTTGGGGCTGGAAGGATAGGTTGGAGTCCAGAATGACACCAAGTACTCTGGCCTGCAGGGCGGGTTTGATGGTGGCGTTGTTGGATGTGACGGAGAAGTCAATGGGGGGGGGGGGGGGTGTCCGGGCTGGGGGGGAAGACAAGAAACTCGGTTTTGGAGAGGTTCAGTTTAAGGAAGTGGAGCGACATCCAGTCAGATATGTCGCTCAGTAGGTGTGTGATTCGGGCAGAGACTGAGGGGGTGAGGTGGGGGGTTGAGAGATAGATTTGTGTGTCGTCGGCATAGAGGTGGTAGTTGAAGCCGTGAGAGTGTATGAGTTGGCCAAGGGAGGAGGTGTAGATGGAGAAGAGAAGGGGCCCGAGGACAGAGCCTTGAGGGACCCCAACAGAGAGGGGGAGTGAGGGGGAGGTGGTAGCATTATAGGTAACGCTAAAGGAGCGTTGTGACAGGTATTATTTGACATTATTTTTTGTTTTATTTATTTATTCTTATTTATATTTATATTGTTTGATATTTTGGTGTAAAGGGTTTTTGAGTTTCATTAAGAGAAAAGGTTTGAGTTATGATGTAGAACATATTACATCTTGATTTGTGAAATCTATTTTAATGCATGCGTATGTTTACAATTCATAGTAACATATTAAGTGGGCCACAGAGCGTTTGGTATGGTACAACAGTGACAAATTCATAGAAAATGCAAGAAGACAAGACAAGCAGAGTGATTTCAGTGAGGCCTGGGTGACACTCAGCAGAACGAAATAAATGATTGTACCTGGAGTGGTCTTTCTTTCCATTCCTGGTAAGCTTCTCTCATGTCAATGAGCTTGTTCTCCAGCTTCTCAATGCTCCACACTTGGGTACCTTTACATTTTCTCCTCACTTGAATAGCTGGCTCACTCACTATTGCTCCTCTCTAAAAAGATATAGATTTTCTATTAAAATGTACATATTCGGATTTAGTCAAAGCTGCCAACATTTTAAATATTTGCATTTTTAACAAAAAACCAGCAACTTCACATGTATTCATCCTTTTATCCAACTGTATGTTTTTCAGACCTCCTCCAGTCAGATATAGGTTTTTCATTCATTTATTTAGTCAGTCTCTCTACATTTGTACAAGTTATATCTTGAAATCTATTAAGGTGTAACTGAACATTAATTAAACATGTAAAATCTTACAGCTTTACTACAATCAAATAGGCATTCAATTTACTTTTCTATTTTTTCACCAAGACCATAATGTTATGTGTTCTTTAAACATTTTCTATTAAAAAGTGTTTAGGAATTACTCTTCCTACAGAATAAGCTACCCTACACCTGTAACAGTGTGTTTTCTGTTCTGCATATGGCATGGTGGACTACAGTCAAAAATACAATCGATTCCTTTTGAAATAATTATAATTTTGGAAGGTTTCTCAATACCAGAAGTTACGGTGGCCTGACACTACAGGTAAAATGTGTCATTGTGGATCACCGGTAGGGGAGGACAATTTCTGTTTTTTTTCTCCTTTAACCACTAGCCTACAGGGAACTTATACCCCCTTCCTGCCCAGGCCAATTTCCAGCTTTCAGCACTGTTGTACTTTGAATGACAATTGCGCGGTCATGCAACACTGTACCCATATGAAATTTTTATCATTTTTTTGTGACAGATAAAGCTTTATTTTGGTGGTATTTAATCACCTCTGGGTTTTTATGTTTTTCTTAAACAAACCAAAAACCACTGAAAATTTTGAAAAAAAAAAAGTTTTTGTTATTAAATGTAAGCTAATGAGGCTGCACTGATGGGCACTGATAGGCTGCACTGATGGACACTGATAGGTGGCACTGATGGGCATTGATGAGGAGGCGCTGGTAGGTGGCACTGATGGGCATTGACAGGCATCACTGATGGGCACTGAAAGGCAGCACTCATATATGGCACTGATAGGCGGCACTGACTGGCACTGATAGGCGGCACTGACTGGCACTGATAGGCGGCACTGACTGGCACTGTTAGGTGGCACTGACTGGCACTGTTAGGCGGCACTGACTGGCACTGATGCACACTGATAGGCGGCGCTGACTGGCAGCAATGATAGGTGGTACTGACTGGCATTGATAGGTGGCACTGACGGGTAACACTGAAAGGCAGCTCAGATGGGCACTGATATGTGGCATTGATGTGGCACTGATGGGCACTGAAATGTGGCACTGATGGGCACTGGCAGGTGGCATGGATGAGCACTGAGAGCTGGCACTGATGTACACTGACAGGTGGCGCTGCTGGGGCTACACAGATCGTCAGGGCACACTGATCATCAGTGATGATCAGTGTGGATGTCCCCTAGGAGGAATGCCGATTACCGGCTCTCCTCACAAACTGTCAGCGTGACAGATCGTGGGGAGAGAAATGCCGAAAACTGGCATTTCCCTGTTTACATGTGATCAGCTGTGATTGGACACAGCTGATCACATGACAGAGCCAACATCTTCGGCTCTTTCTATGGATTGGTGATCCGCTGTGTCCGAGGGACACAGCGCACTGCCGATCGCCGCGCTGCGTGCTCCGGGAGCCGTGCATGCGCGGTTAGAATGGGAGGACGTCATATGACGTCCTCCCAGAACTAGAGAACCACCTTGCATCTGTCATATTACTATATGGCGGGTGGGAGGTGGTTAAAAGATTTCTATGCTAGTACATTTCAAACACATGAGAAAAACATGGTCTAAATGTAGCTGGTTCCACAGAGAGCTGCAGGATAAGGCTCCATGCACACTTGCATTTTGTATGCTCCTAGAAGCTGTTATGAGCATTTTTTTCTGCTCCTAGAAGCTAAATAGTGTTATCCTATGAATCCATGCACACTATTTTAGGTTAGTAGCATTTTTCAAGCTTCAACGTTTAGGAGCAGAAAAAAAATAGTTTTTTGTAGAGTTTTTGGGAGTGGTTTTCCAGCAGCAAAAAAAAAAAAAAAAAAAAGACTAAACACTACTAATAGCTTTTTTGTATATTTTTTTTTCCCCTACTTGTACTGTAAAAACGCTAACGCTCCTAAACACGTTACTAAAAGGGTACTAAAGCGCTATTAAAAACCGCTATTACCAGCGTTTTATATCCAAAGTTTTTGTGGCTTAAAAAAAGCGCTAGTGTGTATGGAGCCTTAAATTTAAAAATCGACCTGTTCTCAGTTAAAAAGATAAAAGAAAAAAACTTGTACATGCTATCCTAGGAAGTGTAAATGAAATATAGCAGATATGGCAGTGGTTTTAACAGTTTTTATCACTAGCCATGAAAAAAAAACAGTCACAATTGGGCTTATGAATGACTTTGAATATTCATTTCTAAATTATTCTAAGTGTTCAGACAAAATTATGAAATATTTATATTTGTTTTTATCTTTATTTTGGCTCTGAGAGTCAGGGGCCACAAGTTACTTGAGGCCTTAAAGTTAAAGCTGCTATAACCTAAAGCAGGGTTTTTCAACCATGGTGTCGTAAAGAGTCCCCAGGGGTGTCGCAGCAAAATGACAAAAAGCCCTGTACAGTCCAACTATTAAAGGGTTACTGTGTTAAATTCTGTGTACAGCAAGGAGAAAGAGCTCATCCGGTTCCTTCTCTGGGATCTATTCCCCTTTATGCTGTTATCTGTACTTTTGCCGGCAAAAGTGAAAGCTGTGCAAGCTGCCTGCCCATGTCCTACCAACCGATGACATCATTGGTTACTCAGGAAAGGTCAGACGGCTTACAGAGCTTTCACTTTTGCTGGCCAAAGTACAGATGACAGTATAGAGGGTGAGAGAGCCCAGAAGATGAATGGGATCAGCTCTCCCTACTCTCTGTAACCCTTTCATGGTCGGACTGTACAGTGCTTTGTGTTATTTTGCTGTAACAAGGGCAAAGAGGGGGTTTTGGGGGGGGGGGGGGTGCTAGAAGGGAGGACTTAGGAAGGGGGGTTTGTGGCTAGCAGGAGGGATTTGTACTAGGAGGGGGGTTGTGTCAGGAGGGAGAGTTTGTGTCAGGAGGGGGTATTTGTGCTAGACAGGGGATTTTTTTTTTCTTTTGGGGGGGGGGGGGGGGGTTCTACTGACCACCTAATTCTGCCTTACGAAACTACATTTAGGGCTTTTTCACACCAGGTGCAGTGCGGTAAACGTGTGAATTTGCACGTTTTTCCCGCACCACACTGCCTTTTGCAGTTGAGCATGGGTGCTATTAATTCTTAATGGCACCCCCACGCATCCTCCAATTGCAATTTGTTTGCGCCCACTTAAATGTATGGTACCGCAGTACCATGTATTTTTATGGGGCTTAATTTAAAGATCATACCAGCACCATTTTTTTCATGTTTCGCAAGTATACAGCAGCCTAATAAAAAATAAAACACACCAAAAAGTGCACAGGCTTGGACACATCTCACGTTGGTGTGCCCTGTGGTTTTGCGTAATTCTAAAGGGTGCCTTGACTACAAAAAGGTTGAAAAACACTGATCTAAAGAGCACAATTGCATATGCAGGCATGCTGGCTACTGGGTCCTTAAAGATGAACTGTCAAATCAAGTAATGCTTGTATTTGAGTTACGGAGCTACAGAAAGCTTTGGCGCTGGCTTATTAGAGGAAAACAGCAGCAATTGGATGAGGTTTTCCAGCTTATTTGGTTGATTCTCCCCTTGACAGGCTTCCACTGTTGGTGCAATCTGGTGACCCCAAGACAGTAGATCATCTCTCCAATCCACCCTAAATAGATAGGTTGGGGACTGACATCTAATGTTTATGGGCTTCTTTACTGAACTGCGAGCTACTTGACCACATGTTAACAACACTCAGTTGTCAGTATAAGGTCAGGCACTGAACAAGGAGGCATCAGTCAGATCTTAGGCAGTCTACCCCATCTATGCTCTAAGGCTGGACATACTGTACATATAAAGATTTCTCTTGTTCAGCCCAGCATGGATGAATGAATCTCCTGCTGCTGACTATTGTATTATGACAGCAGGCACTTGCTGCTGTCAAAATACAAGAACAATGACTGCTGTTGATTGCTTGTTTGACCGACTTTTTCCATCTGGCTCTACGCAATTAAAGTTTTACGTTGGGTGAATTGGATGAAATTCAAGCCATGTATGGCGAGCTTTAGAGTCAGTGAACAATCAGATGAAGAAAGCAAACACAAAATAAGGGTGTAAATATACATCAATCATAGGTAAGCTTCAGAATTTATTAGTTTATGGTTGAATATCAAATTATTGCATACACCAAACTACAACAGGCAGTTCAGGGGTTTCCAGGATACTATGACTCTAGTCAACTTACCTTTCGGTTGGCGCTGAGATTGACTGCTGGGATTTGAAGTGTGACCTGATAGTCTGTATTTTTGCTCATTTCTTCTGCTAAAAAGTTAGATTCTCTCACTAAAGTGTTGGCCTTCACAATCTGTTCCCTGAGCTTAGAAAGGCTCTGCCGAAATAGCTCATCCCTGCAAAATACAAAACAACATTTAAATACAACTTACTACACATTGTAGCTCATAATACCTAAAATACAAAAAGCATTATTCAATACTGTGGCACAGGCAACACAGAAAAAGAAAGTAATGAGTATGCAAAAACCAATAACAAATAATCAAAAATAAACTTGTATTACTCTATCCGTACTAAATTGTACAAAGGTAAAATCAAAGTGTTTGTTTAGTAGCATCATCCATTGCTCCATCTTTTATGGCATTTCCAGATAAGCCCCTATACTACTATTTTAAATGCTGACAAAAAAAATAAACATATGTTGTAATCTTGTTCTAAAGCAGGGGTCTCCAAACTTTCTAAACAAAGGGCCAGTTTACTGTCCTTCAAACTTTAGGTGGGCCGGACTGAGGCCAGTAGGAATAGAAAATATCCTGACTTGGAAGTAAACAATATCCCATGATTAGTATTAGGGGCAGGAATAGTGCCCCATCTTTGGTATTAATGGGAGAAATAGTGCCCCATCATTGGTGTCAATGGTAGGAATGGTGCCCTATTTTCGGTGTCAGTGGAAGGAACTATACTCCACTGTTGCTGACAGTGGGGGAAATAATGCCCCAAGGGCCAGATAAAAGCAAGCAAAGGGCCGCATCTGGCCCCGGGCCACAGTTTGGAGACCACTGATCTAAAGTAAACTTTAAGTACCTGACAGAACAGGAGAACGTACACTCAAGCAATCCATAGGTTTGTGTGTACATTTACAGGTGCATTTATTCTGACATACAACACACATTTTTTAAGAGTAATTTTGGGGGCAACGCTTGTCCATAACAGTAAACAAAAAAGAGAAGCCTAATATTTCCACATTTTGATATATAAATGATCATGGTTTTCTAAAATGTGACATATTTAGGTCAGGAGATGCCATCTGTAATGTTTACTATTTGTTGCCTTAAGTGTCCATATGTGGCACTGTAAACCTGGCATCCATGTCATAGTAAAATAGCACTGGATAGAGCATAGACATGATTTTTAATGACTAGTAATTGCCATGAGACACAAAAGACTTTGAATGTATTTACAGCTTGCTTTTCCCATATTCTGTAACTGCTAAACCTTCAAACTAGAACAAAAAATTATAATCATTCTTATAGAAGAGACATCCATATTTAGGCATTCTGACAAATGTCCCATACTAGATAAGACAGATGTTTTTAAGCACAGGAAAAAAAGAATGGCTAGTGGCTGTTACAGGGATGGACAAAACTAAATAGAATATGACCCTATAGCAAAATCATTTAAAGCAAAACTCTGCTTTGGCCATGCAGAGCAAAGCAACAGGTTTACTCTAATAGTGACCCCACCATAAACACATACTCATCATACCCCACCCCCTACAATTATTCTGTATTTTTACGTGTTTCTTGCTTTATCATTTTTATGAGTACTTCCAAAAAACATGTATTTGCTTTCAATATTGGAGAACATGACAGTGCCCTTGTGGCCCATACACTCTGCCATATTCTTGTTTGAAGATTAAACCTTTTTTTTTTTTTAAAAGATATATTTATTGAAGAAAAGCATTGTTCAATGTTTGCATTATGTGGTTATAAAAACACAGAAGAACAGCAGCAGACATTAGGATATCTGAAGCGCGTCCTTTGATCTACTGATTACGGAAAAGCTTCCAAAAACTTCAAATGCAACCACAGTACAGCAGGTTAGTGTATCATGAAATGACATGAGGTAAGTGTTACGGCTTTGAGTAAGGAATACTTACGTTTATACGCCCCGTGTCAACAAGGTCTTTGTGTTGCTCTCTGATTTTTTTTTTTTAAGCTTGTTACTGAGAAGCCTGTGCTGGCCTTGTGGCTGAGTTGGTCTTTTTTGCTGTCTGATGAGACTGCCTTGCCTGACTGGACAGTGGGATGACATTGCTAGGGGTTCGGCTATGAGGTATTGGAATATCAAGCCCCAGCAATAAAGTGAAACTTAATCAGATAGTCACAAAGAGGCATTTCTGTTCAATAACAGAAACAACAAGCAACAGGAGACCAGGTTCACCTTGATGTGCTCTTTCGGTGTATGCATCTCATCTCCTAGATTGTAAGCACTAACAAGCGGGGCTCTCTGTTTCCTCTTTTACCAGATTGTATTGTAACTGTAATGTCTACCTTCATTTTGTAAAGCGCTGCACAAATTGTTGGCGCTATATAAATCCTGTATATTAATAATAATTTAAAGCGGCGTTCCACCCAAAAGGGGAAGTTCCGCTTTCAAGATTGGTCCCCCGCTCCCCATTAAGGATTGGCACCTTTGGGGGGAGCTTGGGGGGATGGGTACCACGAAATTGACAGGTACCCCACTCCCACTTCTGCTGCGATCGCCTAGGTGATCAGAAACGGAAGTTGTCCTCCTACCCTCCCTCCCCGAAGTCTTGTGGGACACGTGGCAGGTCCCAGAAGACGACGGGGCCATTCAGGAAGCGCAGCGCTACTCGTGCATGCGCAGTGGGCACCCGGCTGTGAAGCTGCAAGCTGTCACAGCCGGGTGCCCACACTGAAGATGCCAGCACCTGTAATACAGGATGGCCGGTGGGGGCAACCCGGGATCGTGGAACAGGTGAGTGGCTGTTTTTTAAAAGTCAAGTTTTAAGTTTTTGTAGCTGCTGACTTATTTTTTTACAGAGTTAGTGGAACTCCACTTTAAGCTTTGTACCCACAAAGGTGAGAAACCAAACCACTGTGTCTATGTCCTCAGCATTATAGTTTCCCATTATATTTGAATACTATGAACTTACCTCTCCTCTGCCCACATGTTCATCTTCTGCTGTACTGTTTGAGAGGTGTAGGAGAGGCGTTCGTTGCTGTGCTGGTGTTGTTTTTCTGGGGATAGCTGCTGTCGTAGCTGTTCCAGCTCTCTCTCATACATGAGCCGCTGTTCTTCCAGAGCATTTCTCTTCTCCTCCAAAATACTGCTTTTCCAGGACTTGGACAACATTGTGGACAGGATCTGCAGAAACATATAATTGGTGAAAATATAGAAATAGCACAATCGTCATTACTTTCTATGCATACAAGTATTTTCAAGGGATGATATTGGAACTTTGAAATGTTTATATTTATTTGAAGGGTTACGTCATACAAAACTGAAACATAGCTAAAAAGATAAAGAACACAATAACAAGCATGTTAAGTCATGTCAATAACACAAAGTATCACCTTGTATGCAAGCCATGCTGTACATGACAAAAAATTAAATTACGTCTTGTGCAACATTCAAAAGCAGGAACTGGGAATGGGTAAAAAATAAAATAAAAGATTAGATAGCCATTGGCATAAGTACACAGGCTTGCTGGGTGTCTGGTAGTTTTTTCTTTGTTCTAGGCCCCAAACATTTCTTGAGGTTAATAGGATTACATTCAAAAAAGAATGCACCATAGTTTAATAAGCTCTATGCTGAGTGTACAAAATGTATCTACTTTTTTGTATTTATCTTACCTATAATTTACATTAAGACAGACCTATTCTATCTTGCCCAAGAGCCACCAGTTATCTCTAAAGTTTTTTTTATGCACTTATCATTTTTCTAGTAAAGGTTTAAATCTAATTTGTGGCTGGATTGTAACACTGAATAATTTTTACTTAGCACAGTTAATAAATAAAACTATATTTTTGCTTACTGAAATATAAAAGCTCTTTATATTGGCATGAAGACCTATCCTTGAGGGCTGTCAAAGTCATCTTAGAATTGTGGGTTGAAGATCATTCTTTTGTGCCAATATAAAGGTTATATAAAATTAACAAAGCAGTATAGCAGTGTATCATAACCTTTAAAATATAATTTAAAATATAATAAGTTCAACCTAAGGTGGCCTCAGATTGGCATATACAGTTGTGTTCAAAATAATAGCCGTCAGACATCACTAACCTGATCAATCACTGTTTTTGGTAGAAATTATATTTCTACATGGCAAATAATTTACTAGCAGGTGTAGTAGAGTAATGAAATCCAACAGACCCAACAGTCATGACATGCATGCTGCTGATTCTGTGTAATTGAATCACTAATTGAAAGGGGCATGTTCAAAATAATAGCAGTATGGAGTTCTATTAGTGAGGTCATTCATTCTTTGAAAAACAGGTGGCAATTATTGCCCTTATTTAAGGAAGGAAGACAGCAAATGTTGTACATGCTGGTTACAGTGCATTTCTCTCTGAAATTCTGAGGAAAATGGGTCGTTTCAGACATTGTTCAGAAGAACAGCATACCTTGATTAAAAAGTTGATTGGAAAGGGGAAAACATATAAAAGAAGTGCAGAAAATGATAGGCTGCTCAGCTAAAATGATCGCAAATGCTTTAAAATGGCAACCAAAACCTGAAGACATGAAAGAAAGTGAAAAACTACCATTTGAATGGATAGAAGAATAGCCAAAATGGCAAGGACTCAGCCAACAATCAGCTCCAGGAAGATCAAAGAAGGTGTAAAGTTACCTGTGAATACTGTTACAATTAGAAGACGCCTATGTGAAGCCAAGCTATCTGCAAGAAGCCCCCGCAAAGTCCCACTGTTGAAAAAAAGACATGTGCTGAAGAGGTTACAATTTGCCAAAGAGCACATTGACTGGCCTACAGAGAAATGGCGCAACATTTTGTGGACTGATGAAAGTAAGATTGTTTTTTTTGGGTCTAGTGGCCGGAGACAGTTTGTCAGACGACCCCCAAACACTGAATTCAAGCGACAGTACACTGTGAAGACAGTGAAGCATGGTTGTGCAAGCATCATGATATGTGGATGTTTCTCATACTACGGTGTTGGGCCTATTTATCGCATACCAGGGATCATGGATCAGTTTGAATACATCAGAATACTTGAAGAGGTCATGCTGCCTTATGCTGAAGAGAAAATGCCCTTGAAATGGGTGTTCCAACAAGACAATGACCCCAAACACACCAGTAAGTGTGCAACATCTTGGTTCCAGACCAACAAGATTGACGTTATGGAGTGGCCAGCCCAATCCCCGGATCTTAATCCAATAGAAAACTTGTGGGGTGACATCAAAAATGCAGTTTCTGAGGCAAAACCAAGAAATAGAGAAGAACTGTGGAATGTAGTCCAATCATCCTGGGCTGGAATACCTGTTCACAGGTGCCAGAAGCTGGTTGACTCCATGCAACACAGATGTACAGCAGTTCTCAGAAACAGTGCTTCTACAACTAAATATTCATTAAGTGATTCAAAGGAAAGCAAAATCTTCAAACATTTTTCAGTTTATACAGTGAATGTTTGAGTTTGTAAAGAAGAACACAAACACTGCTATTTTTTTGAACAGTCTAATATTCACTTTTCTTCAATTATTTTTTTAGAGGAAAAACACAAATTTGATATATTTTTCTTCATGTTTTGATTTGGAATAGAATGTGTAGTGTTCCCAATGCATTTGTGTGTATGGAAATAAAAGCTATTAGAAGGATTTTGAGCTTTATTCACTTTTTTCAACACACTGCTATTATTTTGAACACAACTGTATTTCTCATCAGGAAATATCTGTCAATTCTTGAAAGAGATGCCTTGACTTGCCACAATACTTACCCAAAAATGTACAGCAGCACACACAGTGAGGAACAGAAGTATTTGAACACCCTGCGATTTTGCAAGTTCTCCCACTTAGAAATCATGGAGGGGTCTGAAATTCACATTGTATGTACATTCCCACTCTGAGAGACAGAATTTAAAAACAAAATTCAGGAAATCACATTGTATGATTTTTAAAGAATTTATTTGTCTTGCACTGCTGAACATAGGTATTTGAACACCTAAGAAACAGCAAGAATCCTGGCTCTCAAAGACCTGTTACTGTGCCTTTAAAAAGTCCACCTCTACTCCACTCATTCTAACTTAGTAGCATCTGTCTGCGCTTTTTAAAGACACCTGTCCACTCCACAGTCAGTCAGACGCCAACTACTACCAAAGAGCTGTCAAAAGTCACCAGAGACAAAATTGTGGACCTCCACAAGGCTGGAAAGGGCTACGGGGCAATTGCCAAGCAGCTTGGTGAAAATAGATCAACTGTTGGAGCAATTGCTAGAAAATGGAAGAGGCTAAAGACGACTGTCAGTCTCCCTTAGACTGGGGCTCCATGCAAGATCTCACCTCGTGGGGTATCACTGATAAGAAAGGTGAGGAATTATCCCAGAACTACAAGGGAGGAGCTGGGCAATGACATGAAGAGAGCTGGGACCACAGTTTCAAAGGTCACTGTCGGTAGAACACTACGCAGTCATGGTTTCAAATCATGCATTGCATGGAAGGTTCCCCCTGCTCAAGTCATCACATGTCCAGGCCCGTCTGAAGGTTGCCAATGACCATCTGGATGATCCAGAGGAGGCATGGGAGAAAGTCATGTGGTCAGATGAGACCAAAGTAGAACATTTTGGTCTAAACTTCACTCGTCATGTTTGGAGGAAAAAGAAGGATGAATTGCATCCCAAGAACACCATACCTACTGTGAAGCATGGGGGTGGTAACATCATGCTTTGGGAGTGCTTTTCTGCGAAGGGGACAGGACGACTGCACTGTATTAAGGAGAGGATGAATGAGGCCATTTATTGTGAGATTTTGAGCAACAACCTCCTTCCCTCAGTCAGAGCATTGATGATGGGTCGTGGCTGGGTCTTCCAACATGACAACAACCTGAAGCACACAGCCAGGATAACCAAGGAGTGGCTCTGTAAGAAGCATATCAAGGTTCTGGAGTGGCCTAGCCAGTCTCCAGACCTAAATCCAATAGAACATCTTTGGAGGGAGCTGAAACTCTGTGTTGCTCAGCGACAGCCCCGAAATCTGACAGATCTAGAGGAGATCTGTGTGGAGGAGTGGGCCAAAATTCCTGTTGCAGTGTGTGCAAACCTGGTCAGGAACTACAGGAAACGTTTGACCTCTGTAATTGCAAACAAAGGCTTCTGTACCAAATATTAACACTGATTTTCTCAGGTGTTCAAATACTTATGTTCAGCAGACAAATAAATTCTTTAAAAATCATACAATGTGATTTCCTGAATTTTGTTTTTTAATTCTGTCTCTCAGAGTGGGAATGCACCTACAATGTGAATTTCAGACCCCTCCATGATTTCTAAGTGGGGGAAATTGCAAAATCGCAGGGTGTTCAAATACTTCTGTTCCTTACTGTATGCAGTACTTTTATCCTTTAATTTGCTGTATAGCAGAAGTAAATTGGGCCAACTCCCAAGGATATTTTTTAACAAGCTAGAAACTATACCCAAAGATGATTGCCTGACTATCAAAAGGCACTTCTCTCCTCCTTTGCATTAAGGAATGACTATCAAGTAGGCAATCAAGTAGACTGTAGGCAATGGTTGAAATTGGGACCATTGCATGTATATATCAGGCAATCTATGACTACCTGTAGAGGTTGTCAGTCCTATCTTGCAATACTAGGCACTATTTACATGAAATTTTTACATTAATTCTCTGTTCTTGCTCCAGAGTTCTTTCACCTCTCAAAAAACGTACATGTATAATAACGGTTTTTTCAATTAAGATCGACTCTGCTTGTATCTGAATGTGACCGATGATATATTTTAAATCCCATTAAGCAGAGGATTATGTGAAAAGCTTGAACTGAACAATAAGACTGTGTTGAGGGGAAAACTGTTGTCATACTTTTTCCTTGGTCATAAATACATGGCAACTTTTTTGTGGGAATATTTTGAAAAAACAATACATATTCAAGTAAATTCATAAAGAGTGTCTATGACCCAAAAGGTCAGTAACATTTGAAACTGGTAGAAACAGGTACATTAAATGCATGTGGAGCAGCACTGACACAAAAAGACCATCCATCCTCAGTGTAGTGTCACACAGGCAGTGCAGCATTGAGGAGTTTTGTGGCTGGGTGGACGTGGCTGATGGGGAAGCTGAGATATCAGATCCCTAAACACGGGTGGATTGTGTAACATGTTCCCAAAGTTGAACGTATCTTATAATTACCTCCAGTTTCATTGTCTATGAGCTAGAGATAATTATTTTTCATTTTGGTGCAGTAGTATTGCCACTTTGTAAAATAGGTGCTATTAGGAACTACTTAAATTTTCTGCACAAGTAAAGCTACCATAACGAGTAGCAGGTATTTTATAATTTGGCACAGTCCATTTTCAACTGCTATACCAGCAGAAAAAATGTATTCGGGGTTTTAATGAATCCCCCTACACCAGTGGTTCTCAACCTGTGGGTCGCGACCCCTTTGGGGGTCGAACGACCCTTTCACAGGGGTCACCTAAGACCATTGGAAAACACATATTTCCAATGTGTAAAGAGCAGCTACTGTGTAGAAAGCAGCTACTGTGTTGAAAGCAGCTACTGTGTTGAAAGCAGATACTGTGTTGAAAGCAGCAGTATTGGAGGTAAAACGACACTTCATGAATTATAATTACGGGGTAAATAATTTTATGGTTGGGGGTCACCACAACATGAGGAACTATATTAAAGGGTCACGGCATTAGGAAGGTTGAGAACCACTGCCCTACACCAAGGATGTCCAAACTATGGCCCTCCAGCTGTTGAAGTACTACAAGTCCCATCATGCCTCTGGGTGTCTTGCCTGTGGATGTCAGAGTCTTGCAAGGCCTCATGGGACTTGCAGTTCCTCAACACCTTGAGGGCCATAGTTTGGACACCCCTGCCCTACGCCATTTAGTTCAACTTTTTGCAAAAACATATATTTGCAAAAACAGTTTTCTGCTATCTCTATTTATCATTCTTAAGACAAGAGTCTCTAATAGTACAATAACTGTCAATACAATATACACAGCGCCCAAGCAATCAAACCAGACCCATGCACGATTCAACATTAGACCTTTGTGCCAGCCATGGTACAGGTAGTCGATGATCTCGCTCCGCTGGGCAGGAGGGAAGATCCTGTAGAAGGATTCCCACATAGAAGACGTCCAGTGGTTCTCAGATACATGATGTGCTCCAATCACTTCTTCCTCAGCACAAAATCAGACCAGTGATATACTGTTTTTTTTTTCAGCATTAAACAAACGTACTGCTTTGTACAATGGACATATAAATACATTTTAACCACCATTACAGAGTTAAAACTTATATACCCTCACCAATATACAGATTCATTTAAATCTTTAGCGTACTTAGTTTTTTTAATCCTATAACTATATTAAAAATACACAATAAGTAAAAGTGACAGGGAGCTCAGTCTACACAATCTCACAAGACTGAGTTTAGTGTACGAGCAGCAAAGTGATGTGCAGACAGTAGGAGAAGCTTAATGTCCCTGGGGAAACAAAGGTTGCTGGCCAGAACATACAGATCTACCTTCAATCCTGCAATTGAAAGCTGTGGAACTATAAATGGGAGTAATGACGTGGGTAGAAGCTATGATGAGCGTTTGTGCTGTGTGTGTGCGTCTCCACACCAATCTACTCTGAATGTTTTATAGTTGTGTATATATTATATATGCCAGGCTGCTCATCACAGTATGGTCATTTTAATAGACAAAGGTTATTTGTGGCACTGGAACTTTCACCCCTTGAAGAAATAGGTAGACCTTTGCTAGTTATGTATCTGTAATTGTGATCAGTTTAATGTTAACCATCTTATCTGTGGATTATTGAACACAAAAATTTTAGTTTATATGTGCAGTTTAATAAACGGTATGTAGAAGTGAACAGTCAACTTCTGCTTATTCCACCTGGGCCTGTGTGTAAACTAATGGTAACTTACTGCTCCCTCTCTCAATGTATGTACATCAACTTATCTTGGCTTACTAACTGCATATAGCATATTGTGTGTGTGTGTATACAGTGGATATAAAAAGTCTACACACCCCTGTTAAAATGTCAGGTTTCTGTGATGTAAAAAAATTGGACAAATATAAATCATTTCAGAACATTTTCCACCTTTAATGTGACCTATAAACTGTACAACTCAATTGAAAAACAAACTGAAATCTTTTAGTGGGGGGGGGGGGGGGGGGAGTAAACATAAAAAACTAAAATAATGTGGTTGCATAAGTGTACACACCCTCTTATAACTGGTGATGTAGCTGTGTTCAGAATTAAGCAATCACATTCAAAGTCAAGTCAAATAGGAGTCAGTACACACCTGCCATCATGTAAAGTGCCTCTGATTAACCCCAAATAAAGTTCAGCTGTTCTAGTAGGTCTTTCCTGACATTTTCTTAGTCGCATCCTACAGCAAAAGCCATGGTCCGCAGAGAGCTTCCAAAGCATCAGAGGGATCTCATTGTTAAAAGGTATCAGTCGGGAGAAGGGTACAATAGAATTTCCAAGGTATTAGATATACCATGGAACACAGTGAAGACAGTCATCATCAAGTGGAGAAAATATTTATTTTATTTATTTCAGGTACTTATATAGCGCTGTCAATTTATGTAGCGCTTTACACACTTATACCCCCTTCCTGCCCAGGCCAATTTTTCAGCTTTCAGTGCTGTCGCACTTTGAATGACAATTGGGCGGTCATGCAACATTGTACCCATATGGAATTTTTATTTATTTATTTATTTTTATTACAGGTACTTATATAGTGCCGTCAATTTACGCAGTGCTTTACATATATATATTGTACATTCACATCAGTCACTAATCCTCAAGGGGCGTACAATCTAAGGTCCCTAACTCACATTCATACATACACATACTAGGGACAATTTAGACAGGATCCAAGTAACCTACCAGCATGTCTTTGGAGTGTGGGAGGAAACCGGAGTACCCGGAGGAAACCCACGCAGGCACAGGGAGAACATGCAAACTGCATGTGCCGTGGCTCCAGCCACTGTGCTGCCCAAATATGGCGCAACAGTGACATTACCAAGAACTAGACGTCCCTCCAAAACTGATGAAAAGACGAGAAGAAAACTGGTCTGGGAGGCTACCAAGAGGCCTACATTAAAGGAGCTGCAGGAATATCTGGCAAGTACTGGCTCTGTGGTACATGTGACAAAAACCTCCCATATTCTTCATATGTTTGGGCTATGGGGGGGTAGAGTGGCAAGACGGAAGTCTTTTCTTGCGAAGAAAAACATCCAAGCCCAGCTAAATTTAGCAAAAAACACAGCTGAAGTCTCCCAAAAGCATGTGGGAAAATGTGTTATGGTCTGATGAAACCAAGGTTGAACATTTTGGCCATAATTCCAAAAGATATGTTAGCACAAAAACAACACTGCACATCACCAAAAGAACACCATACCCACAGTGAAGCATGCTGGTGGCAGCATCATGCTTTGGGGCTGTTTTTGTTCAGCTGGAACTGGGGCCTTAGTCAAGGTAGAGGGAATTATGAACAGTTCCAAATACCAGTCAATATTGGCACAAAACCTTCAGGCTTCTGCTAGAAAGCTGAACATGAAGAGGAACTTCATCTTTCAGCATGACAACGACCCAAAGCATACATCCAAATCAACAAAGGAATGGCTTCACCAGAAGAAGATTAAAGTTTTGGAATGGCTCAGCCAGAGCCCAGACTTAAATCCGATTGAAAATCTGTGGGTGATCTGAAGAGGGCTGTGCACAAGAGATGCCCTCGCAATCTGACAGATTTGGAGTGTTTTTTCAAGGAAGTGTGGGGAAATATTGCCAAGTCAAGATGTGCCATGCCGATAGACTCATACCCAAAAAGACTGAGTGCTGTAATAAAATTAAAAGGTGCTTCAAGAAACTGTTAGTTTAAGGGTGTGCACACTTATGCAACCATATTATTTTAGTTTTGTATTTTTACTTCCTTCCACCTAAAAGATTTCAGTTTGTTGTTCAACTGAGTTGTACAGTTTATAGGTCACAATAAAGGTGGAAAAAGTTCAGAAATTATTTATCTTTGTGTCATTTTTTTACATCACAGAAACCTGACATTTTAACAGGGGCATGTAGACTTTGTATATCCACTGTATGTATATATATTATACTCTGTGTATATATATATCTCATGAAATAGTATTTATAATAGAAATATGATACAGAAAGTGCATAGATTGTAGGGAATCTCTTAACTAATTTTTAAAATTCAATTTACAATAATATAATTATAATAATAGAATATATAATAATAATACAAAAAAGGTGCTAACTAAAAATAAACTACAATTTGGGTAGCTACTGCAGGATCCTTAGGGCCAATACTGGCTAATATGAATCGGTGAACCATAACATTGCAAACAAAAAAAATAAATGCACATGATTTTGTAGGTAAAAAATGTGCTTATTATTTTTTACACTGCATCCTGCAATGCATGGCACCCACGATCAGTGTACCTCCATATGGGCAGACAGTTGCTGAAGTGCAGAAAGTGTCAATAAACTATGTTGGTGCTCATCTGCGCTTTCATAGTTCACTGAGAACTACAGGACATTTGCTGTGGAGGCAAACAGGACTTGTAGTTCATTAATTCACAGAACTCTGTGAATGAATGACGTGGTTGTGCAAGTATAGCCCCGCACAGCTGCTCTGTTTTTAAAATGTGACATTGGGTGTGAGGAGAGGTTCCCCTGCCTGTTGTAATAGGACTGCTCCAAAGTAGCATGTTACACCCTAAACATGGGTATAACATGTAACATGATACAAAATGTGAACTTAGAATTTTAATGCCAGAGGCACCAATTTGTTATCTGCTATGGTCAACACAAGCAGCCTACTGGACTTGTGGAAATCATAGGTGGGGATGACAAACTTCCTAAGACTGTGCCTTAAAGCTGAACTCCAGGTATGATCCAGGTATGATCTTTGTTGCATTCTTACATTGTTCAATGTCTCATATCTGAGTGGCAGCTGGAGAGGCTAACAATCACTGTTGTAGTCAACACTATTACAGCGATCACTGCTATCCTCCGAGTCCTCATCCTCAGCTTTCCCTCTGTACACTGACCATAGGGGGTCACTGGCTCTGCATTTCCACCATTCATAGAAGGGCTTGTATTTTTTCAATGAATAGGTATTCTCTGATTGGACGATGTGGAAGTTATAAGGTCACCATGCCTCTTTATCTTGGCTGAACATAGTCTAAGTACAAGAGGCATGGTTTTTCTTAATGGATCTTAGTGTGCTTTGTGTATTTGTTCTCAAGCTATGTAGTAATGTAATGTGAAACTTTGCCTTTGAGCAGGAGCATTCTTTAATTTAAAAAAAAAGTCACTTCTGCTCTCTCCTTTGCAGGGTGACTAATTTTGTATTCACCCTTTTTATCTTTCTGTAGGCAGCCTGTAATGGTGAGCCCAATGGGTCCCTCCCACAGCTCTGATTTCTGCACAGACGATGTACAGCCTAGTGATGATGTTACTGCTACTTTTACTAGGTAATATCTGGATTTTTATTATTTGAGGCTATTGAGGAATATATTTAAATAAAAGTTTTTTGTGCCTGGAATTTTACTTTCCACTATGCAGCCATTACTGGACCCCCTAAGGAAGTGCTAGCTACAATGTGACAAGTTATTGTGCATGAGAACAATCTGTCCTTGAACCAGAATCACTTCTAGCAAGCAGTTAATATCAACCTCTGAATAGGATCTTCTTCTTTTAAGGGAAGATAAGGATCTGAGAGGTTTCCATTAATTAAATACTAAAAAAATATAACAGGCAATACATATTTACAGAAAGGTGGTGCAAATGTGTTGCAATATTCAAAGAAAATGTATTCACAAGGAAAAAAGTACAGATTTCTAATCTAGAGAGCTTTTCCCTGGAAACAGAAAATCATGTCAATTATCTAGTAGCTTCTGGCTTAGAGCCTAAATTACTAACCATTGCTGTTCAAAGCCTTCATTATCACTTCCATCTGTGCAAATTCATAATTATAGTCTGGTTCTGATGAAGCTTCACTTGTCGCATCCAGATCAGTTTCAGTACTACAAGCTTCTTTCTCAAATTCCTTCAGCCAGTCTTTTCGTTTCCGGTTTGGCAGGTTCAGCCTGGTCACACAATATAAATGGTAGATTAGAATAATAATGCATCTGCATTATCAATAAGAGAAAGTCACGTGACCAAAGCTACCTGAAGAAATGGTTGTTTCCCCAAAGGATCCTGTCTCCATGCCACAAGGGGGTAGTGAGGCATATCTGCACCCCATTTACACATGTCCTACAGAAAATAATACACATGGCTTATTAACATGTAAAAGCAAAAGGGAAATATACACAGTACAAATGTATGTATTCTTTGATATAATTGCCAATATACTTTGTAACACCTTACAGAGAATATGTATGCATTCATTTATGCTGCCCTTGAAGGAACTGACAATGTAATGTCACCAAGATATACAGTATATACACATCTGTTCACATGGTGTGGGGTCCAGGTATGGCTCCCAAGGTTTTACTAAGGATGCACTGATCTGGATGCACAGCTTCTATTGTGTTAGTCAAGAATTCACTCTCTTCTAAGCCTGGGTTCACACTGATGCGGTGAGCACCGCATCACAATCGCACCCCATTCATGCGAAAACCGCTGCGGGTGTGTATGTTAAGTTAACAACACCCCAAAATCGGTCCGCAAAATGCGTTGTGATGTGCAGAATCGCACTGCATAGGTGTGAATACCCATGCGATCCGATTCCAGTGCGGACCAAAAAAAGGGTTCTGCACCTTTTTGGTGTGGATGCAGTGCAATTAGAGCTACACAAAATGTATGGCTCCAATCGCACAGCACACAATTCGAATGTGATTCGTACAGGCATGCGGTGCGCTTCCTGTGCGAATTACATGCGAAATACAGCACCGCATATGTGTGAACCTAACCTAAAGAGTTGATCAAAGAATCCCAAGTAAAATAATAAACTAGTTAAGCTAAGAGTGATTTCTCCAGAAGACATCCACCTTAGGACACAAACAAAAAACTGAGAAGGCATTGATTAGGCTGCCATGGGGAGCACGTAGGGGGCATATCCTTAAAAGCTTTGCCAGTGTCCAATCACTGAAGAGTACCAACCTACAACATAGGGTCTATGAATATCATCAAATTTGGTGTTTTTAGGTAGTTGTGTAAGATTTTCGCTGTTTGAAGATGTCACATATTTTTTATCAGGAAATCAATAAAGTATTGTTTTATCATGTGAGCTACTCTACTTGGGCGAGTTATTACCTGCTTTAGTAGTCTGCTCTTTACAGCTGCTTTTTGTTTCTCTGTGAAGATTCTACCTCTGTCCTGTACAAATAACCTTTTTTCCGGTCATATGTTGTATGGAGGTGGCAGCGGAGGTTTTCACACACACACTCCGGCTGGCAGATGGAAGTGATTTGGCACCTGTGAAGCCGGATAACTTCCACACCCCCCATTACTGTAGCCCCTCCACAGTAAAGGATTTAGTTTTATGAAGATCACTGATTTGGTAAGATATTTAAAACATAGAATAGAAGATATCACTGTTCAGAGACTTTAAAACGCATGTTCACTTGGATACACTGAACGTCAACTGTAGAATTTATTTCATGTTGATTGTGATATTGTTGCTTTTGTAGGTTTTTAGTTTAATGGTATGGCATTTTTATATTTCACAATGTATTTTATTGCTCATGAGACTTTTTGACTTTATTAACACTGAAGAAATTACACTTTGCTACAATGTAAAGTAGTAAATGTACAGCTTGTATAACAGTGTAAATTTGCTGTCCCCTCAAAATAACTCAACACACAGCCATTAATGTCCAAACTGCTGGTAACAAAAGTGAGTACACTCCTAAGTGAAAATGTCCAAATTGGGCCCAATTAGCCATTTTTCCTCCCTGGTGTCATGTGACTCATTAGTGTTACAAGGTCTCAGGTGTGAATGGGGAGCAGGTGTGTTAAATTTGGTGTTATCACTCTCACTCTCTCATACTGGTCACTGGAAGTTCAACATGACACCTCATGGCAAAGAACTCTCTGAGGATCTGAAAAAAAAAAAGAATTGTTGCTCTACATAAATATGGCCTAGGCTATAAGAAGATTGCCAAGACCCTGAAACTGAGCTGCAGCACGGTGGCCAAGACCATACAGTGGTTTAACAGGACAGGTTCCACTCAGAACAGGCCTCGCCATGGTCAACCAAAGAAGTTGAGTGCACATGCTCAGCGTCATATCCAGAGGCTGTCTTTAGGAAATAGACATATGAGTGCTGCCAGCATTGCTGCAGCGGTTGAAGGGGTGGGGGGTCAGCCTGTTCGTGCTCAGACCATATGTTACACACTGCATCAAATTGGTCTGCATGGCTGTCGTACCAAAAGGAAGCCTCTTCTAAAGATGATACAAAAGAAAGACCGCAAGACAAGCAGACTAAGGACATGGATTACATCCTGTGGTCTGATGACCAAGATAAACTTATTTGGTTCAGATGGTGTCAAGCGTGTGTGGCGGCAACCAGGCGAGGAGTACAAAGACAAGTGTGTCTTGCCTACATTCAAGAATGGTGGTGGGAATGTCATGGCCTGGGGCTGCATGAGTGCTGCCAGCACTGGGGAGCTACAGTTCATTGAGGAAACCATGAATGCAAACATGTACTGTGACATACTGAAGCAGAGCATGATCCCCTCCCTTCGGAGACTGGGCCGCAAGGCAGTATTCCAACATGATAACGACCCCAAACACCCCTCCAAAATGACCACTGCCTTGCTAAAGAAGCTAAGGGTAAAGGTGATGGACTGGCCAAGCATGTCTCCAGACCTAAACCCTATTGAGCATCTGTGGGGCATTCTCAAAGAGAAGGTGGAGGAGCACAAGGTCTCTAACATCCACCAGCTCCATGATGTTGTCAGGGAGGAGTGGAAGAGGACTGCAGTGGCAACCTGTGAAGCTCTGGTGAACTCCATGCCCAAGAGGGTTAAGGCAGTGCTGGAAAATAATGGTGGCCGCACAAAATAATGACACTTTGGCCCAATTCAGACATTTTCACTTAGGGGTGTACTCACTTTTGTTGCCAGCGGTTTAGACATTAATGGCTGTGTGTTGAGTTATTTTGAGGGGACAGCAAATTTACACTGCTATACAAGCTGTGTACTCACTACTTTACATTGTAGCAAACTGTCAATTCTTCCGTGTTGTCACATGAAAAGATATAATAAAATATTTACAGTGGATATAAAAAGTGTACACACCCCTGTTAAAATGTCAGGTTTCTGTGATGTAAAAAATGAGACAAAGATAAATCATTTCAGAACTTTTTCCACCTTTAATGTGACCTATAAACTGTACAACCCAATTGAAAAACAAACTGAAATCTTTTAGGGAAGGGGGGGGGGAAGTAAACATAAAAAAACTAAAATAATGTGGTTGCAGAAGTGTGCACACCCTCTTATAACTGGGATGTAGCTATGTTTAGCAATCACATTCAAAGTCATGTTAAATAGGAGTCAGTACACACCTGCCCTCATGTAAAGTGCCTCTGATTAACTCCAAATAAAGTTCAGCTGTTCTAGTAGGTCTTTTCTGACATTTTGTTAGTTGCATCCTACAGCAAAAGCCATGGTCCTCAGAGAGCTTCCAAAGCATCAGAGGGATCTCATTGTTAAAAAGTATCAGTCAGGAGAAGGGTACAAAATAATTTTCAAGGAACTAGATATACCATGGAACACAGTGAAGACAGCCATCATTAAGTGGCGAAAATATGGCGCAACAGTGATTATTAAGAACTGGACATCCCACCAAAACTGATGAAAAGATGAGAAGAAAAGAAGAAAACTGGTCTGGAAGGCTGCTAAGAGGCCTATAGCAACATTAAAAGAGCTGCAGGAATATCTGGCAAGTACTGGCTCTGTGGTACATGTGACAACAATCTCCTGTATTATTCATATGGGGTAGAGTGGCAAGACAGAAGCCTTTTCTTACGAAGAAAAATATCCAAGCCTGGCTAAATTTTGCAAAAACACATCTGAAGTCTCCCAAAAGCATGTGGGAAATGTGTTATGGTCTGATGAAACCAAGGTTGAGCTTTTTGGCCATAATTCGAAAAGATATGTTTGGCGCAAAAAAAACTCTGCACATCACCATAAGAACACCATACCCAGAGTGAAGCATGGTGGTGGCAGCATCATGCTTTGGGGTTGTTTCTCTTCAGCTGGAACTGGGGCCTTAGTCAAGGTAGAGGGAATTATGAACAGTTCTAAATACAGTCAATACTGGCACAAAACCTTCAGGCTTCTGCTAGAAAGCTGAACAAGAAGAGGAACATCATCTTTCAGCATGACAACGACCCAAAGCATACATCCAAATCAACAAAGGAATCCCTACTCACTAGAAGTGTAGATACAGGGCTTGCAGCTTTTTATTGAAAACTTAACATATGACATGGTGCATTAATACTCTTTGATATTCCTCTTACAGAAGTGGAATTGTCTACAAAATGCGCCAGGGGATTGCAAGTCTAATACATTTGGTCTGTACATGTTGATTTATTGCACAAGCATACAACAAAGTCCTTGTTACTATAGGAGATGTTTTTATGAGTTTGGATTTTGAAGTAAGTTTTATATATAGTACTTTTTTAAACTAATTATTTTGTACTTAATAAAATAGATTGTGTATTTTTTTTTTTCAATCATGTAGACTATTTCTTTACCTTAAAAATCCCATTTATGCTCAAAAGTGTTTGGTTTTATGTTTATTCAGAACAAGGTATGCCCTTTAGAGGAGATTTGGTTAGAATCTTTATGTCTTCTTTATTTCCTTATGATTAAGATAGGTATGTATTTCAACAATGGGTGGTGCTGGGAACTCTGGTACAAATATCTCAAATGGAGGACATGAGAGATACCAAAAATTGAGACATAATTTTTTAATATTCCAACCCTTTAAAAGTTAGGATTATATTAATCTGAATACATATTTTAAAATATATATTTGATGAACTCCCAAGTTTTATCACTTTCAGAATAATGAATCAAATACATTTTTTTTAAGTGGATTATAGAAAAAAAAAACATTATGGCATTGCAGTGGTAATAAAATTTCAAAACAGAAATTAGAAATCAGCCCACACAGCAACTGTAGATAATATATTTTTTCCCTGTGTGCTAGTCAGAGGCCATACAAAGTGCAGAAATGTTCTCTAGGAGAAGAGATAGAATTCTGTTTGTATGTGATTTTCTTTCTGCAAAAAACAGTATACA